TGCCATCCTGATCGACCCTCGTAGGCATAGGGCTTTTTTAATTATTTTTTTTTTTTTCATCGTCATTCATTTTCCTGGCCATTTCGTCCGGATAAGCCTCCTTTTCGTGCCGCCTCCTCTCCTCTTCCATCTCCTCCCTCTGCCTCCGAGCAGCCCTCTCCATAGCCTTCTTCTTCTCCTGCTCTCTCCTCTCCCGCTCCCGACGGTCTTGTTCAACCCGGTCACGGAGTATCTCAGCATTCCGCTCATTGCGCCTCACCTCCTCCCTCTGCTCTCTCTCCCGTCGTTCGCGCTTCTCCTGCTTCCGTTTCTCGTAGCAAGAGCCGCAAATCCGGCCCTCGTCATAGCAATCCTCCCTGGTAAGATTACCGCAGTCGGTAAGTTTTTTGTAGCGAGAAAACAACCGAATGGTCTTGTCCTCGTCTTGCTGAAGCTTGGCGAGGCGGCGGCAGGAGGCGATTGAGGATAGGGTACTCGACTTGTGACCACACCCGAGCCTCACAGTGGTTTTGTGGCACATCTTGAGTGATCTGGTGTGGCTGTTGTTGTTGTTGTTGTTGTTGTTGTTGTTGTTGTTGTTGTTGTTGTTGTTGTTGTTGTTGTTGTTGTAGTAGTTGGGTAGTGATGTGTGTTGTGTTTGTTACGAGAAGTGTTGATCACAAGCTGCAAATAGTAGTAGTAGTAGTCGTAATAAACTCTGATCGTTTTTGCTGTTGGTTTTAAATGTCTAGACCAGAAAAGAGAAGAAAGAATTACGAGAGGGGTGTCCCGTCCTTAAATATTACCTGAAGAAGCCCTTTGTTCAATGAGATTGTTCCCAAAATAACTTCTAATCTCTCGTACAATACCTTTGTTGGAGAGTCCAGCGAACAGTGTCTTTGTCGCGGACAGGAAACACCTTTGTTGTTCACCGGCCAGGGGCGGTTCCGCGGATTTCCCAGGAAATGGAACACAGCAGGTCTATTTCTAGAACAAGAAATGAGGTCATGAGAAACCCTGGAATAGCAATGATTTCCTACCAAAAGGGTATACGTCATCTTTCTGCCAAGCAGAAAAACCTCAAGGTTAAACGAACGCTGTACTGAGAGTCCCATCCACTGCCCGTCCCGTCATGGACCCCGTTCCCTCCTGACCATCTTGCCACCCAACTGTATGTGGGCGGCATCATCATACCTGACCAGATAGGCTTCCTGAATAAACACACAGGGCCCACCCTGCAATAATTCAAAAGCCCGTTCATACCTCCATCGCTGCCCTGTATATCCCCGAATTGCACCCCGCCTGCAGCTCCATGCTTAACCCAAACACCAGAAAAGAAAGGACCCCTACGCTAAGCCAATGTCTGAACGCCTGTGTATATACATCTGTCCCTCTCTAAACTGAGCATGGAACCGCACTTCTAACCACCTCCAGGATCAACTGTTCTCTAGGTTCAACAGGGAAAACTTCCTCTTCCTCTTCTATCTCTCCCTCTTCTTCAGAACTCACATCCTCGCCCTCAATATCCACCTCCTCATATTCAACCCCTTCTTCCTCCCACTGCTCACTCTCATCTTCTATCACAGCATCCCCCTCATCGTCCTTTGGTTCCTCAATCGGCTTAGGAAAGGCACCCATGATAGTCTGATGAAGCCCATGCAAAACAACAAACGGATCATCATCATCATCCTCCCACCCCCCTTCCCTCACCCCCTCCTTATCCGCCCACTCCCCCTCCCCCTCTCCCTCCGCCTCCTCATGATCCCGCTCCTTAAGCCCCATCTCATAAGCATGCAAATCCCTCAACACCCCTTCCACCTTGCCCGCAATATACCTCCCAAGCCCGCTCCCCCTCGCCCTAGGCGGCAAAGAAGGTGGTCCATTCCCCTCAATCACTTCCCCCTCCTTTGGATGTAAAAAACCCCAAAGCGCCGCGCTCCCCTCCCGTATAATAGTCTCCTTGAACGCCACCATCCTCTCCAACCCCTCCGGATCAGAACTCATCAACTCCCCCATCTCCTCCGCATACGCCATCCCCCCCAACGCCGCCAAATGCGTCAACAACGCCAGATCCAACGGTTCCAACCCTTTAATAAACCCCTGCCTCGTTCGGTGGATCGCCTTTTGCACCACGTACGGATCCACAGCCGACAGCTCCCTCGCCATGGCCGGTATCTTGACCAGCAGCGCCAAATCACAGATATGATCCGCCAGGCAGCAAGCCCGTTTGAACAGGTCGACCAGTTGGGTAAACTGCTGCCGTGGCAGCGCCGCAAAAGAAGGGACGCGGAACATGGCTGATATCAAGGGGGTTGGGGGGACGGTGGAAATGTTGAACATGGCTTCGGTGCGGGCGTGGCGGCGTTCGAGTTCGGCTGCTACTTGGAAGGACCAAGGTGGCAGGATTTGGCGGGTGGAGGAGCTGTGGGAGGATAGGACTGACCCGAGGGGAGGTTGGAGGAGTGGGTTTGGGATAGCGGTGGTGATTTTGGACTTGATGATCGAGTGTTCGTATGTGTTGATCAGGCCGTTGAGGTGCTTGTTTGTGCTGGCTAGCGCGAGCAAGGTTGGGAGGTCGGTTTGCTCTGCAATGAGGAGGGTTATGTCGGCGTTGATGAGCGACGTTGTCGTTGTTGTGGCAGAGTTGGTGGTCATGATGGTGTCAGGGTGGAGGGTGGAGATCCCTTCCGCTGATATGGCCTTAACCGTATATGTGTGTGTTGTATGTAATTTTGGGTGGTTATTTAAGTGTATGCCAGCGACAGTTTGGATAGGTGTGGTGTAGCTATTCCGGTAGTGCCAGGACGGATGGTAAGAAGATATTAACCCTGTAACAAAAGCTGCTAATAAGGAGAAACCAAGCCGGTGATCGTTTGATAGAGTCAAGAAGAAGTTGAGCGGCAATGGGAGAAGAGAAAAGATGCAGGAATAAATGGATGATGATAAATTGACGGGAGGAGAGGGTGGTTGTGGGGGAGAGAACCTCGACGGCAGTATCTATGCACCTTGATGGCCGTGACGAAGAAGGAGCCAGCAAGGTGCGCGGATCTTGGCATCAGGAACCAGGTGCCCAAGCTAGCCTGGCAGACGGTTCCCCCGATTACCGCAGCTTCACCCAAGACGTGCCTACTATATCCAGATGAGATGAGAATCTAGGTAGGCTTGTCGGCTGGTAGCGGCTGCGAGACGATGTCGTGAGCATATCATGAGAAGACGTGACGGGGTGGTGTGCCCGATTGCTGGTTGAGATAGGGACAAAGCATGGTCATCCGGAATCACAAAGGAATGTCGGAAACTCGGTGTGTATCTGAAAGAATAATGCCTCCATTACTCCGTACTTCAAGGTAGGTATCATTCAGGCAGTGCTGCAAGTCCAACCCCGCCAAAACATCTTCTTCCCACATGCTGCGGTGTACCTTGAGAGATAACACCGGGGAGCTTCTGTCAGATGTCTTTGCAGCAACATCTGAGTCTTGTGCCGGTCAGTGAATTAAAACGTTCTCCAGTGAACTATTATACAGAGACTTGGTTCAAACAAAGGGCCGCTCCGAGCAGCCCGCCCCTGAAATGGTATGAGTTTCTTTGCTGTCAATATGCCCCAAAACGCCAATAATGCAAGCCCATATGTTTGTTGCTTTAAATCCAAGAAAATGAAGCGCCCATGGCGGTATAAGACACATGGTTGATATCGAGGGAGGGGGTGTTGAGTTTGCATGTGGCTCTATCGCCTCGAGCGGCTGCATGATAAGGTATGGTGTGTCTTCATGGTGAAATCTGCCCTCTCCTCTCTTATGACGACTTCTCGGAGAACCTCTTCGACACCTCGACCCGCTTGCCGCCCAACTCCTTGATCTTGGCAGCTAACTTGTTATCATTGTCGAGTGCAGCAACGTCGTCGCCGCCACCGATGCTTTTGCCGTAAATCATGATATTTGGTACTGTGGTTCGTTTGGTTATGATCGCCAACCTGTCCTGGATTTTGCGGCCCAGAGGATGAAGGTCGAGCTCGACCACATATGGCGCCGGTTCAATGACATATTTCTCGAGAAGAATGCCCTTGGCGCGCTTAGAGTACGGGCAGTACGACTTGGAGAAGATGATGACTACAAAGCACATGAGCAACTACGGTGGCAACAAAGAGAGAAAGAAACCAACCTGGAGACTTCCTTAATATCAAGTCAAGCTCAACTTCAACTTGGTGCTCCTCGGGCGTCTCTTCCACTTCCAGATCCCCGTCCTCTTCCTCCTTGTGACCACCTGCCGCACTTCCAACACCAATGACCTTCTTGGGGTCGTCGGGCTTGTTGGGTGCCTTTGCGTTGGCATTTTCCTTTGCCTTCTGTTCTGCTTGCTTCAACTGAGCAGCCATCTCCTTGGCCATGATGGCGTCGTCCTCGTCAATGTCGCCGTCGGCATCGTGGTCGTGCGCTGGTATCACTTGCTGCGAGCCGCCACGTTCCCTCTCCAACCCATTCATCGTCTTGTGGTAGAAGTCCTTGATCGCGCCCGTCTCTCGTGAATGGCGGGCCTGTGAAGTGAAGAAGAGGAGCACCACGACGGCGGCGAGGACGGTATAGAGAAGGGCCCGTAGGCGCCGTTGGGATGGCATGGTGAGTGGTCGACAATTCTTTGTGGACCAAGTGTAGCCGTTGTCGGTGGTGGTGTTGACGACTTGACTTGCTTTAAAGTGTGGTCGGATGTTGTTGCCGTGAGATCGATCAGCTCGTAACCAATCTGCCAAAATCGAATTATCGAATGGCTAAGATTACGGCATGTGCTCGGAAGGTTTGGCGCAGCGGGGAGGGGAAGCCCAATCGCATGGGAGAATATTCATCGGCGAGGGAGTTCAACGTCTAATGGCGACGGCACAGAGAGCAAGCATCCGAGGCAAAGTTGCTACGAGCTTCTGCCGCATGTCAAATGGTCAGCGAATGCGGCGACAAGAGGGGAGGCTCTCCTACTGTCCATTTCGCGACAAGACGCGGATAGCTGCATCCCAAAATGGCTAGGCGACCGTTGGACAACCGGATCCAATTCTCTATCCACAGTGCTACAAAGACTCGGGCAACCACCATTTTGAATGCCCCTTGCCGATTCTTTGTGCGACAGATCCTCAAGTCTTTACGAACTCTTGATCTCAATATTGGCTCTGGCGATATTAAACTTCAGCAACATGCCATTTTAGTCCATCTTCCAGAGCTGTTCCCTACGAGCACCGTGCGAAGCCCAGCTTCTTGGTCTCCACTCTGGCACCTGCAGGGACCGGTTTTGGAGGGGCTCTCGGCATTTGCTTGTCCAGACTGACATCTGACGCTCTGAGGGAAGCAAATGCGAAGAAATGAGCGAGAGCAAGGAAATTGAAAGGTACAAGAGAGCTGTACAGGAAGGTCAAAGACGTCAACGGTATTCCTGGACTACTGTAGAGCCTTTTTCGAGTATTTGTTTGCTGCTTTCATGCCCATCATGATGTCAGCAATGAATCGAGGGGAACTATGTGACAGCCCCTCATTTTCGAGTGTTGATACAGCCAACGGCTCTTCAAGATATCGCCAGCCACCACAACAGCCACTGGAAAGTCTCCCGCAGCCACGACCAGCCAGTGAATCTGTTTGTCAAGCTTTTCGAGTGAATTGCTTGGGATGCTTGACATGAACATGCTCTCGTGGAGTGGGGCAGTAAAACCTTCAGTGGTCTGTGCGAGCACATGCGAATTCACAGAATTTGCAGGCGTGCACTGGCCACCCCACCACCAGTATATATTCTCGACCTGTCTGCCAAAATTTCAATCTTCTTTTTCTTTTTTTCCTCATGTCGACAATACTTCAGAGAATCATTTCTATAGTAGTCGTCCTCTTTTGTGTTCCCTAAAGGAGCCACAGATCCCACCCGGGTTGATGAACGATATCCTCGGTGCCCAACAGTGAGAAGCCTTTTACTCTCGATCTGCCTGCAAAGGTGGCGGTCGCTGGCCTTTGTGCTGCGGCTGTATAGAGAGTGGCGATGATCTGTACCCTGATTTTCTTGAGGTCTTGCCTTTGGGCGCTCAAGCGGGGTGGGTATCGATGGAAGTCTGACCGGCTTTTATCCCTCTTTCTTTTCATTGCAATCTTGAGCATACTTGCTGCTTGGGATGTGAGGAAGAAAATGTCACACCAACCCCTGCGTTTCGCAAAACTTCAATTTTCATGATTTGGCTTCAAACTCTAGCGTATCACTCACGTCTTACCGCCCCTTGTTCTTCAGCGGCAACGGGCATTGAAGAAGATAGCGTGGTATCAGTCTAGACGTTGACTGCAGTGTGATTCATGGGGTATGCAGATGCAATCCAACCCGGATACGGCTCCCGGTCTCTGCGTAGGATGATACAACGAGAGATAGAGGCGGTCACGACCTCTTTTGGGGCCAGGTCATGATTAAATGCACACCATTCTGCACCCCACGTTCCAATCGGCTCTCCCGCCTGAGAGATGATGTCTGCATCGCCGAAAACTCTACGAAGCCACTGACCCGATATCTCTCCAGCACCGGTTCGGATGCCTCCCTGCCCTATCTCCCTTTTTGATTCCAGCCCTCGCCAGCGCTCCCCATTCGCTATCACGACACATAGCCCTCGCAGGGGGGGAGAGTGGTGTGGGTGTGAGAGAACCGTCGACGTAATGAAACCTGGGCAGCAACCAGCCAACCACGACGTGCAGATATGCCCGGATTTCGGCAGTGCCCTGAACTGGGAAACGATCAAAGGAGAGAGAGAGAGAGAGACTGAACTTGAAACGGAACATGCTAACAACCAACAAACAAACAGGAACAGGGTGGGGAAGCGAGAGAGCGAGACAAGAACCATCCGGCTTAGAAATCGGGTTATCAGATTCGGGCCCAAAACTTTGTGATACCCGCCAACTCAGCCCTTTCTTTTACCAAGGAAAAGTGTTGGACGAATATGTAGGCGACAAATAACGAGAGAGGTCGGAAGGGGGGGGGGGAACGGACGTTTATCCCGTCAAGCAGGGAAACGCAACCAAGCAGATAAATACCAAGCGAGACCCAGAATTTGTTAATCACTGTCGTAGCCTTACTTTTATCACACGCTATCCTCACTTTTTTTTTTCCCTCATGACAAATGGCAGTTATGGGTTTTGCATTGCGACTGTGACATTTTGAACATTACAGTTTATCTGCTTTGGTTTCGACTTGCTCGGATCCCGCAAAGTATCACCACCGCAGCCATTATCACCACACACCTACCATCACCACCCGCCTACTTCCACCACCCACCAACCATCAACACCCGACCACTACCACAATGACAGCCCCCAAAACCCACCCCTCCATCGTCCTCCCCTCCCCCTTTGCGCCCCCAACCCTCCTCCAAACCCCCACCCACGCCCCCAACCCAAACGAAGCCCTCATCAAAGTAACCTGGACCTGCTCCACCCCGCTCGACCTCCACCGCGCCGCAGGCAATCTCGCCATCCCCTCCTTCCCCTTCCACCTCGGCACCGCCTTCGCAGGTACAATCGTCACCCTCTGGCTCAGCCCCAGCCTCTCCTCCTCCTCCTCGGGTCTGAACATCAACCACGAGCTCCACGAGACCCTCAAAGAAGGCGACAGAGTCTTTGGGTTCGTCTCCGACGGCAACCCGAGGGAGGCCGCCTTCCAGACGTACGTCACAGTCCCGGTGCACAAGATCTCCAAGCTACCCCAAGGGATAGTAGGCTGGGGGTTGAGGGAGGCGGTTACGGTGCCTGCGAATCTGGTTACGGCTTTTCATTGTCTGAGTGCCGATTTGGGGATACGGCTGCCTTGGCCGAAGCCGAGGGGGTTTAAAAGTGGGGAGGGAAAAAAGGTGCTGGTGTGGGGAGGGGGCAGTTCGGTTGGGTTGTATGTGATACAGGTGCTCAAGTATTGGGGGTATGATCATGTTATTGCTGTTGCGAGCGGGAAGCATCATGGGGAGTTGAGGAGGCTAGGGGCGAGGGTGTGTTTTGATTATAGGAATTCTGGGGTGGTGGGGGAGATTGGGAGGTATCTTGACCGAGAAGGGGGACAAGGGGCGGGGCCGAGGATCCCGTATTTTGTTGATTGTATTGGGTCTAGGGATGGGACTTTGAAACCGCTGAGCAAGATCGCAGAGAGAGGGAGTAAAGTGGCGGTTATGTTGCCTGTGATTGAGGTTCCTGCTGCAGAGGGGAGGAGGCCGGTGTTTGCGGCGGATGAAAAGCATGTGGAGGGGGTGGTGTGGCAAGAAGGGGTTGAGGTCATGGGGGTGAGGACGTTGAATTACGAGGAGGTGAGTTATCTTGAACCGGGAAGGAGAGTGTGACAATGATGACTGATATATCTTGAACAGAACGGCTTCTATCGAGACAAACTCCAGCCCGAGATCATTCCTGCCTTGCTGGCTCAAGGCGCTATCCAACCGAACAGGACCAGGATCGTCGAAGGTGCTACACTGCTGGAGAGGGCACAGAATGCCCTTCAGCTATTAAGGGACCAGGTCCCGTCTGGTGAACGGCTTGTATGGAAGGTGTCAGAGGAAGAGCAATGATATGATGCTATAGGTGCTCTCAGTTTCCGTGTAGGAATAGCGTCAGAAAGAACCACTTCCTAGCCAAGTACCAGGCCTTGAATCCTTAATGTGACCGTAACGCCCGGAACGTCACGAGCCGAAGCCTAGACATGATTGGTGGCAAGACTCAACCCCAGATTCAAGCGCGCCATTCTCCGGCTTTCATTTGATGGGCAGCCGTAGTTTTGCTTAATTACTACTGGAAAGCCAGCTGCTGTTAGTTTCCAAAACGGCTCTTGTTTCCTATCCAAGAGAAACTGCCAGTGTGGGGGAGTACCGTCTGATGTAGATTGATTGGCGGGGTCTGTCATACTCGCTTCACAGGCGGCCCTTTTTGTGTAGGCATGATACCCAGGCTGAACCGAAAAGGCAACTCACACACTCCTCCGCACTTTCAAAGACATAAGTTTGCAAATCATGTCTGCCAAGGCTTCCGATGCCGCCAAAAACGTTGGCTTACGGCTTCTAGAGTAACAAATCCGGGATGTGGACCTGGTTTCCAGCAATCACGAGAGATCGCTTTGATGCCTAGGCCGGGTGGGTGTTTCCTGGTCGATCATATAAAACCATGGTATGCCCGTATGGCGTTGACCAGGCCCAGGTACCTGGATCGGATCAGCAACTCCTCACATCCCGTTATCCACTATGCTTCTCCCATCGTTGTCAACTTTGCTTTTGGCTGGGCTTCCAGCTGTGAACGCCGCCATCACCTACAAAGGTGTGGACTGGTCTTCTCTTCTCATTGAGGAGCGGGCCGGCATGTCGTTCAAGGATGTCAACGGCAACACCAAGCCCCTCGAAAGAATCCTGGTTGAGAATGGCGTGAATACTGTTCGGCAGCGTGTCTGGGTCAACCCCAGCAACGGCGAGTACAACATGGATTACAACATCCAGCTTGCGAGAAGGGCGAAAGCTGTCGGGCTCGGTGTGTACATCGACTTCCATTACAGCGACACTTGGGCCGACCCGGGCAAGCAGGGTATCCCCTCCGGATGGCCGACCGACATCGACAATCTTTCCTGGAAGCTGTACAACTACACCCTGGAATCTTGCAACAGATTCCAAGATGCCGGCATTCAGCCAACCATCATCTCCATCGGCAATGAGATCACACCTGGCTTGCTGTGGCCGACAGGAAGAACCAACAACTGGGGAAACATCGCACGCCTGCTGCGTAGCGCCGCCTGGGGTATCAAAGACTCGAGGCTTAGCCCCAAGCCAAAGATCATGATCCATCTCGACAATGGATGGTAAGAACCCTTGATCCAGGATATTCTTTGTTCGCTTTAGAACGGGAAAACGTGTGCTAATGAGGATTAACACAGGAACTGGAATACTCAAAACAACTGGTACACAAACGTCCTCAGACAAGGAACTTTTGAGGCGTCGGACTATGACATCATGGGAGTGTCTTTTTACCCATTCTACTCCGAGGCGGCTTCACTCAGCGCGCTCAAGACCAGTTTGACCAACATGGCCAACACTTGGGGCAAGGAGATTCAGGTCGTCGAGACCAACTGGCCTGTTCAGTGCCCGAATCCAAGATATCAGTTCCCCGCCGATGTCCGAAGCATTCCGTTTTCCGAGGCTGGGCAGGTGCAGTATGTGACAAAGGTGGCAGACGTTGTTCGGTCCGTCAATCGGGGCAATGGATTGTTCTACTGGGAGCCAGCTTGGTTGAACAATGCCGCCTTGGGATCGTCTTGTCCAGAGAACACCATGTTTGCGTGGGGTGGAAGGGCGCGCTCTAGTATTTCTGTTTTCCAGCGCATCTAGAGAGCGGCTTGGTCGAAGCTAGGCTGTTGGTGAGAAAGTTGCAAAATACAATCCTATCAACTCGAACTTGGTGTAAGAGCTCTAATTCGAGAGAAAATCATGGTCTTGAAAGAAGCAAGCCCATGGTCGTGAAATTGCTGTGAGGTTTTGAAAGAGAGTTGGAGAAAATAAATGTCGAAAACATGACCACTTGGAAGGGAATCCCAAAAACTAATATGACGTACGGATACTGCGAGAGTCGCGACGAACGCGTTTGGCAGTGAACTGAGTGGAAGTGCTGCAGGTGGGGGCGGGAAGAATTGAGGCCCCATCAGCCACAGCACGAGCCACAAGAGCAGCGCAGCCACCGACCAACCGAACGCGGGGCTTGTGAGGGCACTGAGCCCTACGAATTTTGTGAGTGGGTCCGAAAGAACCAGCGCTGACCACTCACCAAGGCCTACTGCGCTCACCCAAGTCAAATCCACCTCCAGAATCGCGACTGTCTGAATTTCGCTCTTCGATACCAGCACTATCGAACCGAGCGAGATCGTGATCACTCGACAACCGACAACATGGCTGACGAATACGTATGTCCAACTTCTCTGTGTCGCTGTTGATTGATGGACGACGCCATATCCTTGACGGGCTCTTCAAAAAAACGACGATGGCGACTGCTTCATGTGGGAGGGAACGATGGCTGACATGACATGCAACAGAACGCCGAGGAGGCCGCTGAGCTTAAGAAGAAGAGAACCTTCCGCAAGTTCTCTTACCGCGGTGTCGATCTCGATGCGTAGGTGCCCTTGATCCGATTACTTTTTCGCCCACACTACCCCACGACAAAATCCGACAATGCTCAAATGAGAAGGACGATGTTTTGGGAATGGGGAAATGAGCATATGATGGCGAATGCTTGGGAAATTGAGGGATGGTTATATTTGATGGGCCAGAACAAAGCGCTGACCTGCTATCTGCAACAGTCTCCTTGACCTGACCTCCGACGAGCTCCGCGATGTCGTCCACGCTCGTGCCCGCAGAAAGATCAACCGTGGTCTTAAGCGCCGCCCCATGGGCCTCATCAAGAAGCTCCGCAAGGCCAAGCAGGAGGCTAAGCCCAACGAGAAGCCCGATCTCGTCAAGACTCACCTCCGTGACATGATTGTTGTTCCCGAGATGATCGGCAGCGTCGTCGGTATCTACTCCGGCAAGGAGTTCAACCAGGTGGAGATCAAGCCTGAGATGGTTGGCCACTACCTTGGCGAGTTCTCTATCTCATAGTAAGGCTCGCCCCTCTGACTTGGTATCTGCAAGAGTCAAATGGCTGACCCCCCCCCTAGCAAGCCCGTCAAGCACGGTAGACCAGGTATCGGTGCTACCCACTCTTCTCGTTTCATTCCCCTCAAGTAAGGGCTGGGATATTGGTGGTTCTTGCATTCAGTCTCTCATGGGTTCGGCGAAACGGGACAACGGTCTGCTCACGGGCATGATGCGCTATGCGTGCGGTGCCTGGGCTATCTTGGTTTTAGGGAAAAGATAGTACACAAAAGAGCAATTCGAGTGCTGGTTCCGACAACAACAAACGCACAACGCTTGATGGTGCACTCTGAAGTGATGAACAGAGAGCTCCTGGAGGGACCTCTTCATGATGATTCATGCCAACAAAAAAGGGACAGACGTCTAGGCCGTAGTTATCAGTCTGAAATTAGACCAATAACACATTCCTGATTCGAGCAATTCTTGATGCCAGCATTTGTGTGTATTGTGTCCCGGTTCTGTTTGCCTTCTTGATGCTTTGTGCCAACACGAGCGCAACGAACGTCTCCCCTGTCGTCTTAAGTCATCTAGACTGCTATTCTTGTTGTCAAAGGGCCCAGAAGATAGGGGATGGTTCTGCTAGCTCCTCTGATTTATACCATTTTGACTGCCCTCTTGGCTATCCCTCGAGGTACATGACTTGTGCCCTGTGTACAAACACGCCGAATCATTATCCAAGATTGACCTTCAGGAGAGACGGTGAACTCCCCTCCCTTTGGAATGATGGAGTTTGATAGCAAGCTTTCAATCATATCAAAGCATCAATGATCAACTCTCTTCCAAAAGATCTAGTCTAACCACATCCACTTCCCGTGGATCTTGTCTTTTTCAAGGTCAATACCAGCAAATAGTTGTCGTCCACAACATGGTAGATAGCTCCCCCGCAATCAGAAACAGCCATCGCCCCTGAAACTGGCCACGACCCGTCCAGAACAATTCACGAGTGTGAAATCGCTGATATTCAGTGCTGTCAACATATTATATCCCTTCCAACTCTTCCAGAGCCAACTACCAATATCAAACGCTTTGCATTATCCTCTCCAGAACCTGGTGCCTCTACCTAACCCCGCCATGGAACTCTGAACCACAACCCCAAATCCGCTATTTTGAATAATACCAGCTTAACCCTGATCCCAGTCTTCTTCACGCCGTAGACCACCTCACAGGTTGAAATGCGTCTGATCCGCATTCCTCATCTTCCACCAAAAGCACACCCCTCTGACCCAACGACCAAATTTTTTGCCATTTGCTATTCACAAATAACAGCAAGACCTGCCCGTCCCGGCACGGCACGTCGCACAACGACAAGAAAACCCTTGCTTCTTCTTTCCATAGTCCCACGTGAGCTCCTCCCCAGCCTTGATATCCCTCGTAGCCTTCACAGCAATGTGATGTGGTAGTACAAACTTTGCGAGCTGCCCTGGGCCAATGCGCCACTCGCAGTTGGGTCCTCGCTGCCGTTGGTTGAGGGAATTCGAACCCGACGCATTGTCTTCTTCTTCCTCGCCGTCGTCAGGGTCAGAGTGTTCGCTGAAGTCCTTGGTGCCAGTGGACTCTTGTGCCGTCTTGGGGGCTGGGGTGATGGCGTCTGGATTGTCGGCATTGTTTTTGCTGCCGCTGCCGATGGCAGTATTGTTGTCACTGGTACCCGCCTTGCCACCGGTGCTGGGACTTTTGCTGCTGCTGGCCGTGTTGTCTGCATTTTCATTCTCCTTCTTCAAATTTGCGAGGAAGTTTGCGAGGCGGAGCTCTGGGGTTTCTCGGGCAACAACGGGCGAATCCTCAGCTGCTGTCCTCCTCTTGAGTACCCGTCTGGCCCCGGGGGGTTGACAGCAATGGTTGACCAAACTTGCCAGGAGGTATATCGTGGCAGGCCGCGTCGTCGCGGGATGTGGGTTCTGGTTTCCCTCTATCTCGGCCTGGAAGGCATGACTCCTGAAAAAGTCGGCTGCGATCTTCACTCTGTCCTCGACAGATGCCTTGGAGCCACCGCTTCGAGCCACAACTCCCTCCCTGATGCGCTTGATATACTTGTCATACTTCTCCCACAACTCATTTGGAGGCCAAGCCAGTTGTCCATGTACAAGTCTTGTCCCCAAAAGTGGATTCAAATCGGCACCTGTGAGTTCCTGGGAGGTAGGCAATGTCTTGCCAAGCTCCGCGGCCAGCTTAGGGAAGGCAAACCGCATTTGGGAGGCGTCAGCCAACGACAACGCAGTGACAAGATCTAGCATCTGCCCTGGTCCATGGTGCTCATCGTTGAACTCACGTAGCTCGCAGAAGTCTGTTGGGTCAATCAAAGGGGCCTCGTGGAAGATGAAATCCCCCTTGCTGAAGTCACGGGCAGCGAAGACGCCATAGCCAATGTCCGGGTCAATCAAGTCGACGTAAATTGCGGGTGCGTCACTGGGTGGACGAGACTCTTGAGCTTTTGTGATCTATGGAGCCATAGCAAGCGTGTTAGCAAGGCCAAAAAATGGATTCACTACTGTGTTCTTGGCATTGGCGGTTGTCTTGTGAACTGGGGTGTTTCAAGGGGGGGGGGGGGGGCGGGCAGATAGAGCGAGGGAAAGAACAAACGACGTGCTTTGGCTGATTTGCGGGCATCAATTGAGCCCCTTGCGTTGGTGGCAACCGACCCCATGGTGATAGGGTACAAAAGTAATGTCAGCTAAGAAAGTTGTCGTCCAAAAAGGGTGCCAGTTCCAATGGCTGAGTGGAAAATGTTATCGGTAATGTGTGCATGTGCTTGAGCTTCGCGCGTAGGCAGCGAAACAGAAAACCCCAACGGCCCGTGAGAGAGATGATGGTACACGACTCTGTCAAAAGAAGGAGCGCTTGTGCAAGTGAAGAAGCAACGGAGTGGCAGAAGGAAGAAGGAACACGGTGGTGTATCGAGAAAAGGTTAAGGAAGCGACGTTGTGTTGTGGTTGACCAATGCCGCTCGGATTCTACCTATGTACATGTGCCACAACATCCCAAAGTGGGTAATGTATCTTGGTATGATGAACGCGCGAGGAAATAACGATGTAGGACCTTCTTCAAACGAAGTAGCTACTGCTGGGCGGCCGCCGCAAGCTTCTTGGCCTTGCGCTCCTCCTCCTTGAGATGCTGCTGCTGGTAATGGGCAACCACCTTGTCAATGTTCACGTAGTGTCCAGCCGGAACGTTAAAAGGGGAGCCGGTGTTGAAGACCCTGTCACGTGTCAGTATGCATGCAGTGCACCAATAGCAGTCTAAGGGCTTGAGAGCACAGCGCCTGTCTCATGGGCTCAGGCATTGGGAGAACGACTGCCCGCCCGGCTATCTCGGCCTGGTTGAGCCACGAGAAGCCTCAGTTGAGGGTTTGGACAACCAGCAATTAGACCCAATTGAGGCCTCTTTGCCAAGACAGGAGCTGCCCAAGAGGGTCTCCTTGTAATATCCAGTTCAGACGCCAATTGCGCGAGTAACTGTCCTCGAAATATGCAACGGTGCTCCAGCAAGGCAGAACGCTGCTCTCAAGACCTCTTCATACTGTAGGGATAGGAAAGTCCAAAACGTACTCGGGAAATCTCAAATCGTGGGTTCTGTTGCGGGGGGCGTTGAGAAGGAGATGTCTGTCTGCGGCGGCTTGCTCGACAGCAGCAGCGAGCAGATCGTTTCGTGTCTCCCAAGTCTGGTGGAGGTCCGCCCATTCCTTCAACCACCTGCTGAATGTCGACAGCTCGCCGTCTGTGCCGGGGCGAGAGGCCTTGTAAACAACCCAGGTACCAGCGAGGGTAGCGGCCGAGAGATAGAAGCCAGTCTATTCCAGCAAGTCAGCGCCGGCTCGTAACACATGTCCTCCACTTTCTGATGGTCCCAAGCGACATCATGACCGAATTGGCCATGGGTAAACGTACTCCAAGCTTCTCCTCGACCGTGTGCTCGTGGTGGTGGTCGTGACCGTGGCTCGAGCCATAGCGTCTGGTGTCGCGAACAGCCTGCGGCCGGGCTTGCCGGGCGAGCAGGGCCGCTCTCTGTCTGATAGCCGACATGGTGGTGGTTGTCGTCGTCACTTGTGGGATCGGGCGGTCGGTTTGCGCGTGGAGCTGGGTTCTTGATCCGTAGAGCTCAGGGGACCCACCTTGGTCCTCCGCAGCCCCGCTCTTGTTTGCTTTGCTCCCGGGGAAAGAGTCAAAACCGCAATCGGGAGTTGGACGAGCCCGGAAACTCAAATATCGAAGCTATAGGGTTTCCAAACAATCGAGTCGCTTCGTAAGATGTTGGTGAGTGACAATTTGCCAATGACCTTGCGTTCACTAAGCATGCATCCCGCTCTTGGCATCCACAGGTTGCGAAAGCTGCACGTGACTTTGATGTCAGAGCTCTCTTTTGTGGCGTTGGTCTTCCCGCAAGGCTGAAGGCTGCGGCCAACGGTGGGGTGTGTCAGCAAGCGCCTACCCAATCAGCATTTGCCCCGTAAAGTATACACCCAGCCCTCGATTACAATGTGTTCGCTTTGCCCCTTTTGGGGAGGAATTTCAAGGAGGCAAAGTTGAAGACAATAGCCAATCTGTCCTTTCTTTTACCTTCTAATTGAGTCATTTGGCTTTGAGCAGGTGTGAGACCTGCAATAAGAGGACAAGTTTGCGTCTCTTCAAGTATTTAGATTCATCTCATCAGTTGACGGCTTCAACTCACCACCATCTACATCACTTCAGCCAGCTCCGCTGACTAAAGCGCCCTTCCCTCAGCCTGGGCGTCACACTCAACAAGATGGCTCAAACCCGGTTAAAGATGCTTCCCATCAGCCTTCTTAGCCTCCTAGGCCTCATGGTTTTAGGCACAACAGCATCAGAGGAACCGCCATCAACGTCGCCAACTGCTGAGGTGGAACTCATATGCCACACAACTGATCCAGCTGAATGCTATCCCAAAATATTCCAACCAACCCACGAGTTCCAGATCGTTCACCCCGATCAGGATCTTCCTTTGGGTCTTCACGTCAGGCTCGACATCAACACCGGCCAAAAGGAAGCCAAAATCAACATCCCAGATGAGGAGGTTGACCCATCACTAGTCGGCCTTCCAGTAGACTCCTCCATAGTCACCGTCGACACCCCTGATTCAGAACCAGAACCAGCACAAAGGCCCAGAAAACTTCCCAAAAACGCCCCGAAATACGATCCAGACGGCAAGATCAAGGAACCGCCCAAAAGCAATCCTCACGCTGGAAACGACGCGGCCGCCTTTTTCGAGTCTCTGACCTATCTTAAGAAGGGCCTGGACATCGACTCAGCTTTGGAAAGCCTCTCTGACGTCTCCCATGACATCTACTACGGCCTCAAAATAGCAGAAGACTACGACACCATCGCCAACCTCTTCTGCCTAGCCAACACCCCCGCCTTGTTTACCGCTTCTCCATCACCCGAGACTCTCTCTCGCGCCAGAGTGGCCGCACTTACCTTGTCATCAGTCACGCAAAACAACCCCAAAGCCCTCTCCGAAATCGAAACTCACTGGCCCAAACTCCTTGCCTCTTCTTGCTCAGACGAGCCGCTTTCCACCCTGATCTGGCGGCTCATTCCCTCCTCTGGGCAACCCGACCCAGCGGTATCCAAAGCTCGCATTTCCTCCATTTCTGGCCTGTTGAAATCATCCAAAATCCGGTCTCATTTCCTCTCCAATAACGGCATGGAGCAAATCCTTCAAATTATGAACCTCCAGGACCAAAACAATGGGGACTTTGAGCCAGCGGCCAGGAAAGCAGCCATCTTGGTTCTGGATAACTTCCTTGATGGCGACATGGGCGCCTCGCTCGGTGAGTGGCCCATTGGAACACAGCAAACAGATGTTGTCTGTGAGGGGAGACACAAAGAAGGCAAAGAGCCTGTGGAGAGGTGCTGGGATTGGCATGCGAGGTTGTGGGTCAAGGGAAACAAGAAGGACAAAGAGCATTGGAGTCATGAGCTGCTTAAGAAGGTGACCGAGCAGAGGAGGGTGAATAATAAGGGTGGCAAGAAGAAGAACGCCGCTCAAGGCGGGAAGGAGGAGCTGTAGATACTGTGATAGAGGAGGAAATCAGATACCCAGGTGGCGTAATCGGTGTAAGAGATGCTGATAGAGCAGGATATGTAAACTTATGCTTCATTATGTATGATATGTGTGGATCAGGAGGACGATTAACAGTATGTGTTTGGCTACACATGGTACATGTACGCCATTTGAGCAGCAAAAGAGCTACTGTGTATGAATATATGTATATGAAGCAAGGATCAACCAACCTCCTTTGGCAGTAAGTGCATCACGACTGTAGGCAGTCATCTTAAAAGCAAGTTCGAACTCACAGCATCTTCAAGTCTGTACAGCCCACCCAGCCCCAAAAGTTAAGAGTAGTAGAGTTAAAGTAGTTATTGATAGCAAAGAAATACTGCTCAAGTGGTATTATGTGCTCTTCTATCCAGAGCCAAACAGACCCGTCGACCCAATACTCAAACAACAATCGTCCCCCCGCAAAAAATATCCTAGCGCTGTACCCTTGCGTGTGTCGAGTGTGGTATAGTAAAAAGTAAGAAAAGAGATAGCAAAGAGCTGAAACAATACACTACTCTTCCAGAAGCAAGGGTTATCACACCCCTATAAAACAAGTCTCCCTTCCAGAAACGACAGACTGCAAAGAAAAAGCTAAACGCCCAAACTTCCTTTCCTCTCAGCAGGTATCAAAGTATCCTTTTTGGTCGTCATAACATTCGTCAACAGAAAGAAAACCCCAACTCCCATCACCCAACCCTTGCAATTCCTCGAACAATAATCCTCCTCTTCTTGCCCTGATTTAATGTCCAAAGACACCCTCCATCCAAGTCTCCTGTGCGTGCTCGTGCGCGTGTGCGTATATGTACACCTTATCCAAACACACATAAAAATCCAACAATACACTCCCATGCCCTCCAACCTGTCTTTTGTTTTCAAAAACCCTCCCCCGGGGTTACCTCGAGGAATTACCACTGCTATTAGCACCGGTAACCACCCTTTTCACCCCAGCCCAATACCCCTGCGTGAGCATCCCACTCTTGATCTCCTCCGGCGTCGGCATCCTCTCCCCACACCTTTGCACCACACTCTGAATAATCCTCCCCAATAACTCCTCCGTAATAGGCAGCACCTTGCCCTGCTCAGCCATGGCATAAACACCAGGGTCAAACTCCTGAGGATACAAAAACGGGTCCGTATCCGCCAACAGCTCCTCACAAGTAGGCCTCTCCTTCTGCTCCCGGTTCAAGCACCTCCTCATCGTCCTAATCAGCGAAGGCGGCACCCGGCTCCCATCCTCCGTGACCTCGGGAAACTCAACCTGATACGCCCAATTGATAATCGCCTGACACCTCGACATCTGGTTCGCAATCTTGCCAAATGGCGGCAGACCATAAACCATCTGATACAAGATACACCCTAGTGACCAAACATCCGACGGCTTCCCCAGCTTCATAATCCTCGGAGCCCCCTTTTGGTGATGCTGCAGAGGCGGCGGGATCGAAAACTTGCCATTGTGCGCCGACGTAAAAGCATACTGGTTCGAGTCCATCAGCGACTCGGGCGACATGTAGTTCGGCGTCCCAATCTGCGTCTCCCTGTGCACGTTGACCGTCATCTCCGTCTGGATCGCGTTCGCAATCCCAAAGTCAATCAGCTTGAGCCTCCCCTGCACGAGCACAAAGTTGGCCGGTTTGAGATCCGAATGCACTACATCCTTGAGATGAACAGCCTGCACGCACTCGAGCATCTCCTTCCAGTAGTACCTGATGAAAACCGGATCCAACCTCGCCCCCTCCGTGGCGCTCTGTCGGGATTTCAGCAGAGTATTAAAATCGAGCTCGCCCACCTCCATGAGCACACTCAAAAGCTGCTTCTCCAGGTTCAACTCGTGATCAATCAGCTGAATCACCCTGTCAACGCCGTGCAGCCTTTTGAGCAGGTCAATCTCCCCCTTGAATCCTCTCACCGTGTTCTCATCGGCACTTTCAAGAGAGACACGCTTGAGGGCAAACATCTTGCCGTTCTCCGCAGAGACCCGGTACACCTTACCCGAACCGCCACGGCCTATACAGTCGATTCTGGTGTACGTCCTGCCGTTGACTCGGAGCATGACCTGCCTCTTCTTGCTAGCCTGTGTAGTAGTAGAAGCACCGGCGTTGGCTGTGGCAGCATCAAGCACTGACATTTTCGGAGGCGGTGGTGGTGCGGCGCGGCGGGGGGTGTTTTCGCTTTTCTGTGCCAGAACCTTGCGGTCAGGGGATGCTGCTCGTTGGGATGGTGGTGCGTTGGCTCTGATGTCGCTTACAAGTGGTTGGATGGGCTTCGCCGGCTCTTTGGTGTCATCCAAAAGGGAGATCACCACTGGGTTTGGCTTTTGCGCCGCTGGGGCTTGGTTCTCCTTCCCAAGGCTGGAAGGAACACGTGGTGTGGGTGTAGGAATCTTGAAGTCCAACTCGAGGTGGCTTCTTTCAAGCTCCCTGACCTCTGGCGGAGAAACGCTAGCCGAGGTCCCTCTGCGGACCGCAGCTCTTGAGGGATCCCTGGAGCTAACAGGGCTACCAGAAGCAGCAGCAAACTCGCGATAGTTGGAAGCCAAGAATGATGATTGTGGCTGCTCCATACCGAGGCCCATATACTGAGGCTGTTGGCTTTCAGGCTCCTGACCACTGCCAAAAGCATCACCCTCTCCATGATCCTGTCCATCCTCCTCACTCTGTCTCCTCCTTCCACGACGAGCCGGGCCACTGAGAAAGCTCCCGCCCATCTTCCCTATTCTCCCAATCCGCATAGAACTTTGAGGAGCAACAGCAACAGACCGTCCAACAGTCGCGGGTTCCTCACCCAACTCCTGATCATGATCGCTATATCCCCGGGAGCTCTTGGAGTGACCGGAAGAACTATCCGACCTCCCCTTGCTGCCAGATGACCCGACGGCAATGCGTACCGTCCTCACAGGCACAACTGGTGTGTTGATATCAGCAAGCTGCTGTTCAACCTCCTGCTGCTCAGGCTCAACGGGCACCGGAGCCTGAACTGACTTCTTCTCAACCACCTCGGCACTCTCCTGTCTCTTGCTCCGGCCAGTAGTACCAGACAATGACCTCCTCACACTCGACTCAAAGCTACCATTAAAGCTCGAGTTGAAAGCATTGTTCCCAGCACTAGTATTGCTCAATCGCACAACGCGCTTCCGTGGCTGAGGCGCAGGGCTCGTCTCCCTTGGGGGTGAAGATCTCCCCGTAACCCCACGCTGGACACTACTCGTCCTCGCCGTCCGTCTCGTCTGCCTCACCTCCCCCACAGCAGCCTCGCTATCCTCCACAGCGGCAGAAGCAGAAACACTAGCAGTCGACCTCCTCGTCACCCTCGAAGCAGGACGTTGCGGCGGTGAAGCAGCACGGCCAGAGACAACAGACTGCGCACCCCCCCTGGACACTCCCTCGGACGCACCATCATTAAGCAATGCCTTTGTCAAAGCGCTAAGCTTCATAGGTACCACCGGCTCCTCATCGTCGGAGCTGTCATGCAGCGCAGCAGTAATTGGTTGCTGGTTTGACTGAGGTTGAGAATGCGCCCTCGTCTCTCGCGAAGTTGTGCCAGAAAAAGATGCGCTGACAGCAGGGTTGGACTCGCTACGGCCGAGCTGCGGCCTCGAAGATAGCGACGTCGAAGTCGGGCGGCGGAGCGCTTGTCTGGCGGATGTTCTACGTCCCAGAGCGTTGAGGTGACTCCCTCCGCCAACTGGCGTTGGTGATGCGGCGGTGGCCATGTCGTTCATGAATGGGCGACAATTGTTTACTTTTTTGGGCGGCCCCCCTTTCTATGGGGCAGCTGTTGTTGAAATGTTGTTTAGAATTTCGGTGGCTGGTTTTCGCCGGCTTCTGTCTCTCGTCGCTTCACACCGCGTGTGCTATCCGATACTTTCCACCACTGTTGATTTTGAGTAAAACACAATTGGCACAACTGGCGATAAGCTCGAAGTGTTGGTGGTCGTGTCGATTAGGCCTACCGTTGTCGCGATGGCATCTTTACCGAGAATGGGACTTGCGACAAGAGTTGGCAGGTGGACAAGGGAAAGATGGGGTGACGCTGGGCTTTTGCCAATTCGAGGGAATATTTTGGCCTCTAGTGGAGCAGCCAATGACAGCGCACCATCTCCTGGGCCCGTTACCCAGCAACCGTAAAAAACTGGGCAGGCTAGCGCGTTCCGGGCATTGCCAAGGGCGTTTTCAGCGTGTCCCCTCCGTTTTCCATATGCAGGCAATTACCCAGCCACTTCATCATCCGCCTGCTCCGGTGCCTCAGGCAAGAATTATCCACTCATTTCAACGTCCCAGGCCCACTTGCACATCCCACCATGGCTTCTGATAAGCGATTAATCGATAACAGGGAGAGCTGCTGTTGAGCTGAGAGCTTGCGACCATGCGCATGCCACAGTCCCAATTGTGTTTCGATCAACATCACAGCGCTTCATAGTCGCAACCAGAAGAGTCATGTCAATCGAAGTAAAAGAACAATGTCACAAGTCAAAAATGCAAAGAACATCATTGTCCGAAGAGAGCCTTGGTGCTTTTGATTGCCCCGCCTATATGCCGTTGTACGATGTCAGAAACCTGCCCGCGCAAATCCCAAAACTCCTGGTCCGCAGCCGAGGCCGATGGCCTGTAGATAACGCCGTAAACATCCGCATAAGTCGTTAAGGTTCTTCGGATTTGCCCAGCTCTTGTTCGGAAACGAAGACGATATGGCGCGCTTAGTCGAAGAGACCGAAGCCCATGTCGTCATCGGACTCCTCCTTCTCTGCGAGATTGTTAGCGAACTGTCCTTCCTGCAGCAGATATTGTCGCGGTACATACCCTCCTCCTTGGCCTCCTCAGGGGCAGCCTCAGCGGCACCACCGGCAGCGGCGGCACCACCAGCGGCGGCAGCGCCACCAGCACCGCCAGATGGGACGGAAGCGAGCTTGGAAGAACCCTCAGCGATGAGCTGTCGAGCAATGTTAGCAAAATTGTTCCCGCCACTTGCGACTTTGTGCGATCGGTCGTACCTCGTTGACGTCCTTGCCCTCGAGCTCAGAGATGAGCTTATCGAGGCGGTCGGAGTCAGCCTCGATACCGACAGACTCGAGAACGGCCTTGACGTCGGCAGCGGAGGGGGTGGCCTTGCCACCGAGGGTGAGGAGGAGGTAAGCGGCGAGGTGCTTCATTTTGGCTGTTCTGTAGCGACTTGGTGATTAGTCCTCGGAGTCTCGAAACTGCGTCGGGTCTGAAAGGGAAACTCACTCTTTAGGAGAAGTAAAGAACAAGAGATGTCAATCAATTTTAACCGCTGGCTTGTGCGGAGAAAGACTCTTCTTAGTTCTGGGCGGTGTTGCTGTGTTCGGTCATAAAAGCTCCCGAGCCAAGGTGGAATATTTTACAATTTTGGTTCCTGTGCCCGCAAATTCCCACCCCACTAATCACCTGACTGCTTGCTGCTCTAGGGCATGGAGGTGCGTGCTCCTGCTGACGTAATGAATTGAGTCGGACACGGCTTGGCAGGACCTCCGGAACCGGTGACACCTGACTCCGAGCTTCTCCCAGGTTCGTGTTACGACTTTGCAGTGGGTCTCTTGGTCATTCTTGGCTTGGAACTGTACCAGGACGAGCCAGGCCAGGCTGTTTGCCCGCAAGTTAAAAGCAGCCTGCGCTCCCAGCATTGAAGTCCCCATTGACCGCGCAGACTTCTTCCCTTTCTCTTTCCCACGACTCACACCGCTTCTGTTTCCGCTCCCAATCGCGGAGCCTAAAAATCGCAATTTCAGCCGCTTTCAGCAGATTTACAGCACTCTAGCACTGGCGTTCCCCGCATAGCTGAGCGCTTGGCACAGCGACACAGCAAACGCTCAGTGGCAAGGCCCGTTTTGGCGTTTTCACTCGATGACTTCGCGCCAACAAATCGTATGAGGTTGGGGAGGGATCACGACAACTGCGAGATTTAGGGTTCGGCATCCCGCCCATACTGCTGTACTCGCGCGACGATGGGGGTACGTATTTTGTGCTGATTCCTCGGTCTCCGCACCCCTGATACTGATATCGATTGTGGTTAGATTGCGGATCTTCTTGGGGCCATCACTGGCGAGAAACCCAGCCCATCACCGACCTCAAACCCCACATCGCGACATAGCACGACGGCACCCAAACGAAAGGCCGAGGATGATTTGCGTAACACGCTCCCAAAGGCACCGCGCACTGAGACCACTGCAGATGGGCTATCGCGGCCCAACATCAGCTCGCCAAAACCAGCTTCCCGGCCGATAGATAAGCCCACAACCGCTTCCGGAAGCACATACTCTGGGTCATCGCGACCACCAGTCAAATCGACGACTGCGTCAGCAACCAGACCAAGCACAGTTGTGACCAATGGCACCCGTCCAGGTGTCTCCTCCAATGGCAGCAAGCCTCTGCCATCGCGGCCTGTCGCTAACCGACCATCACCATCGGACTCGGGTCCCCCAAAGAAGCGGTCATTTGCAGAGATTATGGCGAGGGCACGTGAGAACCAGGAGGCACGGGAATCGCTTGGCAAGATCAGTCACAAGCCAGTGGAGAGGAACCTGACCATGAAGGAGCGCAAAGAGCTGAAGGCGGACCAGGCAAAGCAGGCCAAGGTCGCCGGCAGGAAAGGCTCTGCAGCCCCCCCTGCATCATCTCGAACAGCTCCAAAAAATGGAGTCGAGCGGAATCGTGTGTCTCCTGGAGCCTCGAGTGCCAAAGCGAAAGCAGCGGCCGAGGAGGAGAACAAGAAGATCAAGAAGGCTGCCTTGGCGACAACTGGTTATACCGGCACAGCACGACCCCGGCCAGGTGCTACCACCAAACCAAAGGCTAGCAGCAGCGGCCCTGATCGTGACCCGCGAGACAAGGTACACGAACGTCCCCGATATGGCGGCTCTCGCTCAAGATACGAGGAAGAGGACGACGACCTGGACGACTTTGTTGAGTATGATGAAGATGAAGACGACCCGTATGCCTATGGCCGTCGCGGTGGATATGACGACATGTCGGATGAGTCTGACATGGAGGCTGGTCTTTCCGACATTGAAGTGGAAGAGACGGCGGCTGAACGTCGTGCTCGCCTAGAGGACAAGCAGGAAGAGGAACGCGAGAAGCGGCTGAAGCGCGAGAAGGAAGAGCGAAAACGCAAGGCTCTAGAGGCCATGAGAGCCAGCCGGCGTTGATGATACTTTTGTTTTCATGTTTGGAGTTACGGTCTGGGGACCCAGGATAGAGGCTTCAGGGGCGGGCCGGTGCATAAGGGAACAACGGAAGACTGGATTTCTGGGATGTTTCAGCATGGCGCAGTGGTTGCAGCAACCGAGATACCGCATCAGCATTGGAGTTGGGTTTTTGTGTCCTAGGTATTGCTCAAACATACTTGCATCGTAGCAAGCTCGAACTCGGAATAGAGTCGATGTGAGCGTTGTTATTACAAATCATGTTTTATTTCTGTATCTTCATTGTTCTCTGCTTGCTGTGTCGTCGTGGAATGTTGGTGCTCCACCCCACCTAGTATCTTCAGCCTCACGTACATACATAGACTTTGTAAATACTATGCTGATTAATATCACATATCATTTGTAGACTTGCATTCGGCTAATGTTTCTTGAGTTGAAATCCGGCTGTCATTTGTGTTGGAGGACAAGCGAATGTGCGAGGCTGGCCAATCAGGGCCTAGAGTCTCTGCCCCACTTGCAACCCGCCACCAAGCCTGCGATAAGCTCTTGATTTTTTTATCAGAGGACGACCTCCAGTGCCAACGCCTGGATTCAATCGCATCGCCATTACGCCCTAGCAAGCTTGCGAATCCGAATCTTGAGCTCTCCTTCAAACCATCATCAACTGAGAACTCAAGACCCTTGCCAGGGTGACAGAATTCATCATGGTAAGTTCTGTTGAACAGGAAGAGGTCGATTGACAAACGCTGACCACATCTTTCGACAACTGCAGCCCCAGAACGAGTATATCGGTATGCCTCTGCCCTTCCCCTGCTCGCCCGTCTCTAAACCATCGAAATTTGGCGCAGATATTAACTAGAATCCCCGAACAGAAAGACACCGCAAGCTTCACGGCAAGCGTCTCGATCATGAGGAGCGCACGCGCAAGAAGGCCGCTCGTGAGGGCCATAAGCAGAGCGAGAATGCGCAGAACCTCCGCGGCCTGAGGGCCAAGCTGTACGCTAAGCAGCGTCACTCGCAAAAGATCCAGATGCGCAAGACGATCAAGCAGCACGAAGAGCGCAACGTCAAGGGCGCCCCCGCCGAGAACGAGCCCTCCAACCCTATTCCCTCGTACCTTCTCGACCGCGCCAATCCCACATCCGCCAAGGCCCTCTCCAGTCAGATCAAGAGCAAACGTGCCGAGAAGGCGGCGAGGTTTTCGGTGCCGATTCCCAAGGTCAAGGGTATCAGTGAGGAGGAGTTATTCAAGGTTGTCAAGACGGGCAAGAAGGTGCACAAGAAGGGGTGGAAGCGTGTGGTTACGAAGCCTACTTTTGTTGGGCCTGATTTCACCAGACGGCCGGTCAAATACGAACGTGAGTGGTTCGGCTTGTTCAGGAGCTTGGAAAGGGGAACTAATGTTGGGAATAGGTTTCATTCGCCCCATGGGTCTCCGGTACAAGAAGGCCAATGTCACACACCCAACTCTCAATGTCACGGTACAGCTCCCGATCTTGGGCGTCAAGAAGAACCCCAGCAACCCCCTGTACACCCAGCTCGGTGTTCTGTCCAAGGGTACCATTATCGAGGTCAACGTCTCCGATCTTGGTATGGTCACAGCTTCCGGAAAGATTGCCTGGGGTCGTTACGCCCAGATTACCAACAACCCCGAGAACGACGGCTGCCTGAACGCTGTTTTGCTTGTCTAAGTTGGTGGCGGTGGGTATTTTGGAAGGCGGTCATCAGAGTCTCTGGGGAAAATGGGTTTTGCAAAAGATTTGCATGGTCAAGGCGTCCGGTGTTGGATGGTTAATGTCAAAATATCCCTGGAAAACACGCCGTTGCCCAGTGTGTTAGTTGCTGTGTTGATTTTTATCGATTTGGCTGAGAGTCATTGTAGCCGGCTAGAAGTATATACCAAGATGTGCGCAATTCATGGGTTTTAATTTATCTTGGTCTGTGTCTGGTGACAGCTGTTGACTTTGGGGGTTGCATTCACATGCCTCGGCTGGTGGCGTGGTGATTGGAGATGGAAGTCGTCATGACGCCACATTGTGAGAAGGTTTGTGATGGGCTTGCTATTCAGAACTTAACTCTCCGCCAATTTCAGGCGGCGAGGAAGTCGAATGGGAACTTGACAACTCAAAATCCCCAGGACATATTTGATCAGTGTTCTTGAGTTATTTTGTCAACGTAACTCAGAAATTGCTGACCAGCCATGAGGCTATATATTTAGACAAGATTTAAGCGGTGCAAATCTATGTTATATCTGCATGTGCAGCCGGCAATATCCTCTTCTAGTGTCTCTGTATTATTGTGTAGCTGTATATTACCAGGACGTTTGTCTGTACTGTGTTCCTGACAAAGGAAATAAACGTAATCTATACGGTCGAGGCCTGTCGTCGTTGATATCATCCTCATTGCTCGTGTAAAACACCAAACACGTTTTCCACCAGAATTAAAAAAAAGAAATATCATCCCAAAACAAAAGAAGCAGATCCGTCAACTCTCTCTCCCCAGGTGTCCTTGTCCAGCCCACCCCCTTTTCTTGCCCCTGCCCTTACCCGCATCATCAAAGGGAAGCCCTGCCTCTAAACTACCCAGCACAAGCCCCCACCCCAATGATATGACTAGCCCCCCAAACCCTCTCGCAACGATAGCACCAATCGATCCCACAAACACAAATCATATGATTACACCCCTCCGTCTTCTCAATCCCATTCTTACACCGCGGGCACCTCTTCCACTCCTTTTCCCTCATCAACGCCCTCGTCAGCGCCCACAACTCCTTCTCCCTCTCCCTCTTCTCTCTCTTCTCCCTCTCCATTTTCTCTCTCTCACTCCTGCTTGCCGCCTTAACCTTTTTCACATCCAAGGTAACAAGCTCCATAGCAGCCAACCTCCTCACCTCGGTCCTCTCCTCAATCCTAAACAAATCCTCCTTCCTACAGCCGCCCTGCCCGAGGTGCATCCCCATCTTGCAAATCTCACACGTCCTCTTCTTGCACCTCCTACACCTGCCCCCCAAAACCTCCGGTATGAACGCCCCGCATTTCGCATCATGGCAGTAAGTTGGCAAATTGACCTTCAGCGGCATCGGCGCTCCATAAAACACAATCCTCACCCCTGACAAACCCTGTACCATTTCCGGTGGTGTCTGTTGCCTCCTTCGTCTTGACGCAGGTGACGTGGGATAGGAGGCTTGGTACTCTGTTATTTTCTGTCGATAGAGGCGCACCCTGTCTCGTGGTATACCAAACTCCCGGCGGCGGAAGATAGAGGGAGGGATGAAGGTTGCCTGGATGCAGCAGGTGGCTGGTTTGAAGGGGAGGGATTTGAGGGACTGGGCTAGGTTTTCCGAGAGGCAGCGGGGGCAGTGGAAGTGGTTGCATCCCGGGAGGGCAAAGGGAGGAAGGGGGGAGAGGGGGGAGGTGAATGGGCTGAGGCAGATTTGACAGTCGTAAGTTTGGGGTGCCATTGTTCGAGTCGGGTTGTAGTTCTTCTCTTGTATAAGGTGGTGGCGTGGGATCAAAGGCGAGATTTTCGCTCGAGTGTCAGGCCTCGCCCATCATTGTGGGTGATAGTTGATATGAAGTTGATTCGATAGTGAACCGTAAGTTTCAACGCGTGCGAGGCCGAGTCTAAATTTATGACAGTTGGTCGAGGTCAAGCCCAACATCCAATGCCACAGACGTGAAAAAGAGAAGCCCTGCGAAAAATTCTTTCGAGCCTATTTATGTCCCATCCAAACTCTCGAGGGGTGAAGATGCTTTTGCTGTGTTGACTGGCGGTGCAGCCTCAAGGTTAACCTCCAACGCCATCAATCCCACAATAGGCTGGGCCACCAAATCCACAATACCTTAGAAAGCCATCATGTGAAAGCCATATGGTGAATCAACAGTGGAACGACCCGACTCCCCTCGAAAACAAAAAGCACTCGCTTGCCTTGGTCGAGTCGAGTCCCAGGCATGACAGGCAGTAGTAGCATGTTATCCCTCAACCAACCAATCCCCCCCAATAACACGACAACACACACACAGCAAGAAACACTTGTAAACTGCTAATGTGTGCATAAAATCTCCAAATAGCTGCCACACTTGCGGATGACCGACATAAATATTGTTGACGTGACTGACACTGTCGTAAGGCAGGTTTTAGGCAGCAAGCGCGGCAGCAAACGCGGCAGCAAGCGCAACAGCACCCGGCTTTTCGAGTGTTGGTTTCCATTGCAGTCGTATTTCTCAACATCGAAAACTCCCATGATGGTGAAACAAAATCTGGTTACTTTGGAAGGATGCCAAAGGGGATGATGTGCTCTACCGGCTGGTCATGTCTTTCGGTGCTTCTTGAAGAAGAAGGGGAAGATGGGGTTGGGGTGGGTATGTGGGGGTTATACCTATGCCCAATGCCTTTCCAACTTGTTAAGCTGTGGACGAATAGGCTACTGGTACTGCAAAGTAGGCAATTTAACGCAAGAGTATCCTGAACTACGTCAAAAAGAGATGCTCAAACCCCCTTAAAAGATAGATAATACGTCTTTACAAAGAGTTTATATGCCTTCCAAAGATAGTAAATAGACATCAAATATTTATCGAAACTTTACGAGCCTTTAGAACTCGACAGAAAACCTTGAAAGATGATCGAAATGCCCTCGACTATCTCCTAACGCCCTATGACTATCTTCCAAGCCCTCCCTACCATGTTAAAGGCCACTATACCATTTTTAAACACCTTTCAAGGTCTTTACACTATCCTTTGAGGCCTTGATTTCATATTATATGCTGTGTTTTTTTGTCCACAAGGTAAAAATTCAGAAGAGACAAGATGCCATTATTCCTGTCTTATCAACCTAGAACAAAGAACCTTCCAGTACAAAAAATATGCCATGCTGATTCAACGCTCCTGATTTGTCCCTCCCAACCTCCAGATTCCATATCAAGCATCGCTGGGTATCAAGTGCAAAGCCACTCCCTATTTTGTGTCTACACGAAGCCAATAGTCCAGAATCCATCCAAAGCAGCTACCTTCCTCCTCTTCCTCTTCCAGAATCGATGTTGGCCCACATTCCTCAGGGCTGTTCTTGAAGAACATATTGTACCGGTGGCGAGCGACTCAAAGAAGATTGAAAAAGGTTGAAACTAGGTGCCTAAAGTGTCGGTGAGTTTCTGAGCCAATTCGTCATGACAAGCTGAGATCAAAAGGGTCATCATCGTAAGAGGTTCATCACGGGCGAGAGCCTAAGTCGCCTCATCCGTCTCAACAAGGCCAATTTCAATGGGATACTGTTTTTCGTACCCCCGCAATACGATGGGCCCCTCGGGTCGGTAGGAACCTGGTGATAACCGGGAAAAGCGAGGAAGGTCAAGTGAAAAGAATGGTGTGATAATTTCTTCAACGTGCGAGGGGGGGTCTGGTTTGGCCATTTGTGGAGAAAGGAGCAAGGCATGTTGCTCCGCAGTTGTGATACTCCAATGGTAATCGGGGCCTGGATACCACATGACAGGCTCATAGTACCCAGTCCTAGGCAACCGTCGAAGAGCGACGACGATGGGTTTGAGAGGAGCATCATGGCTGCTTGGGGAGGCTGTAGTGTCTTGCGGAGGCGTAGTTGGGAATAGTGGAGGCGGAGTCGTGTCTCGCGGAGGCGAAATTATGATTTGCGGAATTGCAGCCGTGTGTTGCGGAGGTGTAGTTGTGTCTTGCGGCGGACGCGTAGTCGTGTTGCCAGATTGAGAATCCATGTTGGATAAGACTGTCGTCAAGTACCGATGGGATTGATGTTGGTTGGTGTGCCCAAAAACGAAAGTGAATGCACGGCAGCGGATGATTGAGGAAGAAAGGGGAGAAAAGATGCCCAGGCTTGCTGCTGCAAAGTTGAGGTACTTGATCACCCTCCAGTGTTCTTTCCTGACGACGGGCACACGGGACCGAGCTGGTCAGATTTCCTCCTGCCCTGCCTGTTAGGTGGTAAGAAGCCCCCTTTGAGGACCTGCCTGCCCGGACAGTCTTTAGCAAGCACCAACGAGCAGACCCGGTTCAGGAAGGACCTAGACAGAAAAGCAAGAGGCCCGGTAACGTGTCCAAACTGCCGAGATTCACAAGTCTGTGTCTGAAATTCATACTCAAGATAGGTACTGTAATCCTCCATTAACGATCCACCACAGCATAGACCTCCTCTAAAACAAAACCTTGGGTTCCCATACCCGGACTGTAACCAAGAATGCGAGAAGCCAATGCTGATGCTAGGAGCTGCGAGCAGATCTAGAAGCCACCGTGATTATACAACCGTATGAACGCCCTTGAAATATCCTTATCATGTCTCCATCGTACACTGATCCCTCATTTGTTGTGCCATATAAAGTTCCGTAGCCCGTCCCAGTCGTCAGAATTCTGGTAGATGTAAACCATGCTGCTGCGCAAGCTAGGCTGCAGCTCGGCGGCATGCCATCTGAAGAGATGCATCACGGCTGCCCATGACATGCTGGCAAAGACTGGCCAGGCATAGTGACTGATCGTCGCACTCTGCTTCGGTTCTGACACCCCCGGAAGACCATAGCCGGGCTTGACTGCCAGACGCGCCAGCGCCAGCGCGACGCGCGCAAAGATGTAGATGACGATTTGCTGGCTGACGCTCGAGATCTTGCCGCGCTTCGATCGCTGGCCGAACACAACGTAGCCGCCTAGAAGACCGGCAATAAAGCTGTCATAAGGGCCTTCGGTATGTTAGCGTCGTCTCGTGTTGCCGAACCGAGGCTCCTCGTTTCTTACCTTCTTTGCCCGGCGTAGCCCCGTACAGCTTCAGAAGCAAGCATGTTGACTTGTATATCGTCGCAAACTTTGCCAAATTCAGGGCGTGTGTTTTTGTAGCATTGAAAATGAGTCGTACTTTCTCACGGAATCTGTATCACGGGGACGAATACAGCGTTAATCTCGGGGAGACGGGCCGGCGCAGGATAGCTGGGAATACATACGTTCCGGAGCGAAAGAGCATTATCATCCTGTACACATCATGGTCAGCAGGCTGCGGCGAGATGTACAGGCTGTGATCTGAAAACCTACACCAAGGCATGTGGAAAGCGGACTTTTGCGCCGTAGACAGCGCCATTGCGTGCGCCCTTGACAACTGTGAGGATGTCATGGTATTTTGGGTCGAGAATGATGCTCTCTACAAGAACCTAATCGTCATGTCAACCTTGGATTCTCTAGACAGTCGAAGTGGTGGTTTCGTCACACCTTGAGGCTCTGGATGGTGGTGGCTGACATGGTGCCTCGGTTATGGCAGCTAGCCGGATGACGAAACGTTTTTCTCAGCGGGCGACGGAGGAGCGCAAGGACGGTATAGGCGGGATATATGAGTGCGTGCAGCGCTGAAGGAGAAGATTTCGTGGTCTACCTCATGGGAATGTCGTCATAAAGGCTTCTATAGGTCCGGAGGAAAAGGATGGGAGAGTCGCAAAATGTTTTGGTATCATCAACAAAGAGGATCAGCGGCTCTTGATAGCACTTCATAGCCGAGCATGTGCGACCGGCTGGCGACAGGGGGTGCCCATGGCGGCACCGCTGCAGCGCTGTGGTGCGGCCTTCCAGCATTCCAGGGCGCGCTGTGTTGGGCAGGGTTCCCCGCAACAATGACGCAGGGGCCTGGAAACCAGATCCCGGGACCCACAATCGTGGGGGAACCGTTTTCCTCTAGCATGTGAAAGTTGAGCCGTCCACAACGCCGTTTGTTTCGCGATTGCATACCCGTCGCCGGCGTGATGGTTCACGGGGAAATATGGTAGGTAGCCCTGTCCTGGTCCCTGAGACTCTTTCTTATCGATCCCTCAATCAACTTGTTGATTCGAAAACGAGCTCTCATAACAAGTCTGTCGCACATTCACAACAGCATATTCCAGACGTTGCTGACGACAGGATTAGGAAGCATATTTCACATGTCTATTCTATCATGTCTGATAATTCATCAAATATCTACCCAAATATTCTTGCCAGAATATCACAACGCCGCGATGTCGCCATGTCTATCTCTCCCACAGACCAAACAAAGCCCATCATCTCAACCGAAACGCCATAACGCAATTTCCAACGTCATGTTTATCCAACCCATATCTAGCTATTCAACCCATGTCCACCTCTTCACACCCAAACCTCACCAACCCCTTTAACCCCCGGACACATCCCACCCTTCCCCTCACTTCTAACCTTCCTCTTCCTCTCCCTCCTACTCTTACCTCCCCTCTTAGCAACCCTCTTCCCCTCCATCACTTCACCTCAAAACCCGTCAGCCTCTCATCCTCTCCTTCTTTCTTCTCGTCGAGGTAGATAACTTACAAGTCTGCTGACTAACCCCAAACATATGCCCCTTCTGCCCACACCTCTTGCACGTATTTCCCCCACAATGCCCACACGTCCCTACTTTCCCTCCCTTTTTCACGTCCAGCTTCGGGTTGATGAATCTTTTGCATTGGGGGTTGTGGCAGTACAACCTCTGGTCGGCAGGAATGGAGTTTTCGCTGAGTTTGTCGGCGTAGGCCATGAATTGGAGGTAGGTTACTGATTGTCGGAGGATGGATTTCGGGATCGGGGTCGAGGCAGAGCAAGGACAGGCTGCTGGGACGAAGGGTTTGGAGATGAGGGAGGTGATGAGGGTTTGCCTCGTGCAGGTGGGACAGAGGAGATGGGTGCATTGGAGGGGGTGTTGGTGGTTGGGTGAGATTAGAGAGCCGCAGTTGTTGCATGGGAGGGGGGTTTTGAGGCCGGGTTGTCTGGGCAGCAAGTGGCGGGTTTTTCCTGGGAGAGGTTTTGATGGGGTTCCTGATAGGGATGGTGCTGAGGAGGGGGCTGTGAAAGGGGTGTCGGGGGTGTCGTCCCAGAAACGGGAGGCTTCTTGGGTTAGCTGAGTGTCTGGGGTCTCGGGGGAGTCTTCGCAGTCGAAGATTAGATCGTCGACGTGGTGTGGATAGCGGTATTCTGATTTTGAGGGGGTGAAGGGAGCTTCGGATGGTGTTGTGAGTACTGTTGAGGCTGTGTCTGAGAAGTCTTCTCCCCAAAACCTCGAGGCTTCTTGGGTAAGCTGGGAGGTGGGACTTTCTGGCCCGTCTTCTGTTGTCGGGGTCGCAGGCGTTTCTTCAACTTCTGGAGGTGTTGTGACATCCATGAAGGATCCAAAATCATGAGCTTTCGGGACATTGAGCGCAAGCCCAGTGTCTGGGGGTGTGGGTAGTGGTTGCTGGAGGAGAGCCCCCCGCAGTTTGGGGGTGGCCATAGGCTGCAAATCCGGGGCAGGACTCGACTCAGGGGTATCAGGAGGCGTGCCCAGTAAGTTGTCCGAGGGAAGCTTTTTCGCAGTGCTGGTCCCGGGCCCGAGGAACCCCATCTTGAGAGCTGGCGATGACTTATGCCAAAACATCTTGATACAACATGAAGCTAACACTTGTTAAGTGGATGGCAGAGAGAATGAAATATCGAGAAAGAAGAGATCTCTTTTTATGTAGGACAACGCTACAAGGGACTGCTAATCTGGCGTGTTCCAAGTGACTCTTCACGCGCCTACTTGAGCATTTCTCGCATCACATATGTATTATCCTCATTGGACAATCACGGTCCTCTTCCAAGGCGACCTGCTTTGGCTCCATTTTCCACGTTGTCGTTGATGCCCAAGATGGTGGGTCAGCCCTAAAAGGTGGCAGCGTATGAGTGGTGGTTGACTGTCAGGGGTACGATTGGCTGCACACCAAACGCTCACCTTACACGGCGAGGACTTGAGAGCTTCAACATCTCGGGCTATGCGGAAGGCTGGCTATCTTTCTGCAAGAAAAGGGGACTTGTCAAAGTCTTGTTTCTGGAACATTACATTGTTTCTGGACAATGTGCGCTCAGCTACTGCCCTATCAAAGAGGGACAGCTTTGTGTGCTCAGCCTCTGAGCCTGCATGTGGGATCGGGGCGGAGCACATCCATCCCGGCCGGGCATAGATAGACCTTTGACAACTCTCACCTTCTGATGCTCTCGCACCTCCGACATTTACAACCACAACTACCCGCTCATTCTTTTCAAGATGTCGGCTACTAAGAGAAGGTCAATACGAGTTCCAAGAACACTCCATCGCAAACCCGGTTTAAGACACGCACCGCTCTACGGGTCTCTTGCGGGGGAGGGAAGCACCAACTTCCGGCTCATGCGATTACACCCCGGGATTTTGGATCAAGCAATCACCTGTAGCCTGGAAGAAATTCCTCTTAACAACGCACCGCCATACAAAGCACTTTCATATGCCTGGGACAATACTCTTGGCAGTTCAAATTCGGGATCATCGCCATCAACAATGTGGATAAGATGCAACAATGTGCCCATACCCGTCAGTCCTAACCTATACGCTGCCCTCCAGAGATTGCGAAGTAAAGACAAGGTAGTAAATCTCTGGGTGGATGCTGTCTGTATAAATCAACATGATCCCGACGAAAGAGGCCACCAAGTGGGCATAATGCGGCGAATATACCAACAGGCTGAAGAAGTGGCGATCTGGCTTGGGAGCAAACGGGACGATGACGATTTGGCAGAGGACTTCATGCTTTCCTTAGGCCTGACATCGCTTGACTGGACGGATAACGAAGAGACCAATCGATTCTTCTGGCTAGAATTTCTCCGCCGATCTGATTGCAAACGACAATACATATTCGGTGGCTTTTGTGTTTTATGGCTACTATCGCTTGGAATACCGGCTTCAGTTACTCCGCATATCAGCTCCCCTTTTGGGCAGTCTTCCTGCATTTTGAATGGTATCCAGGCGATAATGGATCAAGCATGGGTACAACTCCACTGTTCAGTCACGAGAAGGATTATGTGAGCTAACTCTGTGCTGGCAGTGGCAAAGATCATGGGTTCTTCAAGAGACAGTGGTGGCAGCCAAGGCTACCTGCTACTATGCCACTTTATCATGTCCATGGAACATGATCACGAAAGCAGCGGCGTCATATATGAACGGCCAGCTTTCTACAAACATCGACTCGGCCTACGGATACGTATCATTCTTGGCACAATTCGCACGGCAAGTAAGAGATATCGAGATCATCCGACAGGACTGGCGAAACCCATCAAAGCTCGTTTCACTGCTTCCTCTGCTCCGACAGTTCAGGATACGGAATGCAACAGACCCCAGAGATAAGGTGTATGCACTCATCGGCATGGTCCAGTATTGGGGTGGCCAACACAAGATTGCTCCCGACTACAACCTTGACGTGACAAATGTTTACTGGCAGGTGTCTATCACAGTCATCAAAAACATGCAGTCGCTTGAGGTTCTGTGTGGCACACCAAACGCCACAAGTGACGGCGACCCACGGCTCACCCATCCAGGGCATCCCTCCTGGGTGATAGACTGGTAGGAAGCCCTTCGATCTATAATGGTATTGCTGTGAAAATTTGCACTAATATCCCTCTTAGGAGTTACAGACCAAGTGCCACCGAAAACATCCGCCTTGAAACACAAGGATTCTATGATGCCTCAAGCCACCTGCCCCCCGGCCAGGTTCGTCTTCACGGCCGGCTCCTATTAGAGGTAGAAGGGGTTGAGCTCGATCGGATCCACTGGGTCTGCGACGAAGTAGTCAACTCCCATCACGGCAGAGACGGTGGCGCCAGACGATGGCGAGAGGTCGTGAAGAGTTGGGAAGAGCTAGTCGCCGAGGTCCTAGGAGACGACAATCGACCATATGCCGGTGGAGGAACCGTTGGCAATGCCTTTTGGCGCACTATCTGCGGAAACATTGAATACACCCACGCTGGAATATCCCTCGCTGGGGACGATGTGTCGTCAGCATACGCCAAATGGCGAAGCGTCGACTTTCATCATAGAAGAACGACATCAATCATTGGTGATCACCTGCAGGAGCCGGTCTTCAATGCCAGGTATGGGATGACTGAGAAGGAGCTTGAGTCTGAAAAGAGGAACGCGTTCCACTACGCCGTCAGGTTTGCGTGTAGTGATAGGAAGTTCTTTATCACGGATAAGGGATACATCGGGACCGGTCCTCGCGGTGTAAGCAGCGGTGATAGGGTTTCTGTTGTGTCGGGGAGCCGGGTACCGCTGATATTGCGACCTTCAACACAAGAGGTAGGGTGCAACCATAGAGTGGTTGAGACGTTGATCAAGCGGCCCGAAGACCGGGTATTCTACCAGGCTGGTGAAGAAGCCAAACAGATGATGAGACAAGGAGATAGCGTCTGCAACGAGTTGCATCGGGGACTGTATAATCTGATAGGGGATGCTTATGTTCATGGGGCTATGGATGGGGTAGGTTTGCCTGCGGATAGGTCTTTTCTTGCTCCAGTGTTTCTTCGGTGACGTTAGATAGAACCCAATTCAATACCAAGCTTTTTGAAATTGGTTCGAGCGCTTGTTATGTGGCCATAAGCCAGGTGGTGTCAGAAGGAAAGGGAAGGTTAGTAGCCAGTGCAGTAAACCACCATGTCTATGTTGCATTGGTCGGGGTGGGTGTCGTCGCAGAAGGTGATTTTGTTGGTATTAGGGTGATAAGAGGAGATTGTTAACTTCTAGACGATGTAATCGGGTGGGAGGGGAGATGTGGAGGGGGTATGCCGCCACGGGTAACAAAGAGATGGACAGATCGTGTCCGGAGGTGGAGTCACTTATCATTAGAACGCGTGTATTTTTGTAGGGAGAGACATATTGGAAGGCTTTGTCAGGAAAAGCGAGGGTGTATTCTTTGGGAGTGGGGACATAGGGGATCTGAGAGGGAGGGTTAGAGGTGTTTGTCATGGTGACTGTTCAGGGGGAAAGTGGAGATTGGAAAGGGGTAAGTGGAGATTTGAAAAGGGGGCAAACAAAACGTGGGGAACGAACATCGGGGATGAAATAATGCCTCTTTTCTAGGAATACTGCGTTGAATTCCTCTTGTCATCATGAGCTAATGTTTTTGGAGTGGGTCGTGTTTATGGAGGGGGAGTCTCCAGTGGTTGAAGCCATCGGGTTGGGCACGAGGGAGCTTGGAGAGGTTTTCGAGGGTTGTGTTGAAGGCCAGGAAGGTGTCTGTGTGATTGGGGGAGAGTAAAAAAGCGATGTATCGCTGCGTTATACCAGTAAGCACATATGCATTTCAATTTCGTTCGCTATATCTTCATGGGGCAGGCGACTTCCAGCATAACTTCCGAGAAAAAAGTAAGGGAAGAAAAGCGACAGGTTGAGAGATCTACTCTATCCAAACTAAAACAGAAAACCATGGAATGAGACCTATTCCATGGATGGATTGAGAATGGTGATGTATTTGGAAAGTTGGTAGCTTTCACAAGGTGTAATGTCCTCGAAAAAGTGAAATGTATATCCGAAGTGCATTTCAAGACCTTTGAGTCTGGGAAATAGATAGAACTTGGAAGATACCTGGCTGGCGAAATGATAGGAACTAGATCTCCGAAGGTAATGCCAGCCACACCTGACTATAGCAGGAGGAAGTGAGTATATTCAGGATTTCTATGGAAAGACTGGGTAAATAGTTAAGCCAGTTTGGCCGGTGAATGTGTGGAACCCTTCTTGACACCATCTGCATGTATGTATTGAGTAGCTGCGCCGTGGAGGGGGACTTGCAATGAAGGGTTGAAAAGATCATGATGTTGATTCCAACTCAACTTCAAGACGAAATTCCGAATCAGGGGGTTGGTGTAACCTCCGCCTCATGAATCACCGGACCCAAGGTCGCAAGACCCTTTACCCTCTGAGCCCGCTTAGCATTCAAGTATTCTTTCTCCGAGTGGCTATCTCCCTCCTTTTCATTCCGGGAGTTGCATATCCCGACCATAACATCTTGGTAAGTCGTCAGCCTGGTGATCTGAACCTGGACTTCGCAGTCAGTCCGTCGAATAGCTTCCCATCGGAGTTTGTATGTCTCGCGGTCTTTGATGCTCCATTGAATGGGGCGTATGAGGCGGCTGATGCTGATTTTTCCGACTCTGTTTGCTCTAGTTGTGTTGCGTTCAACCACTGGCTTGGCTTCTCGAAGGGCTGCACGGGCATTGTCGATAGCAGAGTCCACAGCTTTGAGATGATCTGGATCTTTTTCGAGGAAATTGATGTGCTTGCTGCGGAGCTTGATAAGCTCGTTCACTTTTGTCCTGACAAGCCTGGACGTCATTGGCGGCGCCATCCACCTCCTCTGGTGCGCGACTGAGAGCGACCACGCTGCGCGCTGCTTCGCCAGCAATTTTCAGAACCCCGGCACCGCCAGCAGCGATTGTGAGAGGTTCGGGCATGGTTATGACCGGGAGAAGAAGTTATGAGAAAATGGCTCAGGCAGGATGTCAATTGATGAATGACTGTGTGAGTATGGCGTGGTCCTTGCTAATGAAAAGGTTTCTGACACCAATGTTGGCAGCGGAAGCTCCAAGGCAATTGCTTAAATACCTATATAGTCACACCCGACAATATCTTTGGGCTCAGTCCGTATCGGTCTCGGAAGGTGAGCAAAAGGTGAGCGCAGTGAGCATCACCCTGAGCTAAAGTGGATCCAAGGACCGTTCGGCTATACTTGCCGCAACCAAAACTGAGCATGACTTCCGTTTTCTCCTCGTGCGTGCCAGTAGCCCGTTATCAAACCCACTAGAACCACCATTTGGTATTAAAATTGCAACTTTAGATATAGACGAAATTGTTCATTTTTGTTTAATAAAAGAAGACACTTATGAGTCGCCATATTATAACATCTAGTTAAATAGCTTTGAGTATTACAATCCAAGAATCACGTAAAGGCGGCGAGAATGTATGTAGCAGGCTACCTGTCCGTTGCCAGAGTTTCTATTTTGCTGTTCCTTTAGTGATGGAACATGTACTAGGGAACAGCAGGGGTTAAATCAATTTAACAGGCGTATATTAATCTCAAGGGATGAGGGGCATCAAACTTCAATGGCCATAGATCCATAGCACTATGCAAACGGAGCAGCTGTAAGGCGCACCGCCCTTAGCAAAGGATTCTATTCCTCTCGGTATTGCCGATAACCCTACAACTTCCGACACTTTATGGAGGGGCGGAGTCAAGAACGGTCAGGGGCAAGTCGGAGGGGGAGAGGAGAAGCGGCAGCAGATGGCGTAAAGGCATGGCTGGAATACGAAGTGGCTGGCTAATGCGCAGGGATACATGGGCTCCTGCTTGAAGGAACGCCGACTAGCGTCTGTAAAGTGAAGGCGTCGAGCGGTCTCCACTCAGAGGGAACCTTAGATGGGGACTATTTGCAAGTTAGACGTAAAGGAGATAACCCTCATACATGTTGCTATCCGCCAGGGGGGTCGTCGCCACCCTTACATATTTCTTATTTCTTGATATCTGGGCTCTAGAGAAGGGCTTGTTGTTGTAGACTCGGTTCTACTGTAAAGACCAGCGTCGGCAGCTCTATGTGTGCCCGTCAAACACTACATATAGTGCATCCAGGTATGTGACGAACCCCTATCCAGAACCTCTGAAAGGGATACTAGTCGAAGGCGCTTCTAGATAACCTGGTTCGGTGCAGCTAAATAGTGCACAATGGCTTGTATCAATCACAATAGTCTTGATACCAACGAATGTGACTTGTATTGCATACTGCGGAACTATCTGCTAGCCATCTAGTTCCTCCGTATATATAGACCTCGGGACCGTGGACTGTTGACTTCCAGACGGTCCTCGGTCCTCACCTGATTGGCTCTTCCTGGACCGTGGACCGTGAGCCCTGCCGCGGTCCCCGGTCCAGCTCCCATTGGTTCCTTCTGGACTATGGCCCGTGAGCCCTGCCCCAGTCCCTGGTCCAATACTTATTGGTTCGCCTATTCCCCCACCTTATGCCAAAACCGTGACAAGGTAACAAGATGTTGATCCTGTTATTCTGACATTCCTTTTGGAAGGGTTTTCTCAATAGTTAATGCTATCGAGTTGCCGTCACAGTGCTCTGCTTCTTTTTCTTGCCCTTTATGCAGAGTCACTTATAGCTAACTTCTTTGTAAACAAACTACATGCTGAAAGGTATCTTCCTCCTAAACAAAGTACTAAGGCCTTCCATGTAGCTAACTACTATCTCTCAATCGATTTCCAGGTCCTTGAATCGTTTCATAAGACCAGTAAGATCGATTCTTGAGCCTATGGTAGCGAATCGCTGCTATAATGCCAGGCTGTCTAGCGGTTTTACTGTCGAGGATAAAAGAATAATGTTCCTTATGCAGGGGCGGTGTAGGGAGCTGAGATCGGAATCAGAACCAAATCATTGTTGGCAGGACAGTAGACACAAAGGCATACCCGAGTGCGGCAGCAGAGAAGTGATAGGTCACACTCTTAGAACCCATGCCAGAAGGATACAGCACACACAGCTGGCCGGTTTTCAACCATATCATCTCACTTATTAGCCCCCGGCTCATTTGCTTTTCTGATTGGGAATAGCGATGCAGGTCACTTTCGATATTCATTCGCCGTCCAGTGTAGGAAAAAGTGACGCGAAGCCGGGAATGTGTAACCCACTACTTTAATGGAGGCATATCTGGTGAGCAATCCTGGAGCAATTTCCATGGTTAATGATGGCGATTGCCACAACCCCGCTTCCTATCGCACGTTCCATTTCTCCAGGACACAATTGTTTCTCGGGCTGCTATATTTATGACCCCTCTCAAATTAAGCTCCCAGATATCCTCTTCCAAACGAAAACTCTCCTCTCATCCGTCACCCTTGTCATCAGATTCTTGCTACACTATCAAATATCACTTGATCTCTTGTTAGTAACGTTAATACTATGTGCAATTATACACAAGTATGTCCTGTTCTTTCTTTTCCCAGTATTCACGCTGAAAGTCCTAGCGAGAATACTCTTGCGGCCACTTCCGCTGGATAGCCTCTAAGTGGTGTAGAGACTACACCATCACCCACCAGTCAACCGAATGTGACCATCGTGTCAGGATGCTTCTCACGAGAAGTTTCCTCCGATACTCATAGGCTCTTAGGTCCATAGGTTCCTTCTCTCTCCAGCTCCCACGATCATATAGATAGTTCGATACTCGGGTCAAAAGCGTCGCTGCCTCGCTCCTCCTCGGCAATCTCTCTGCACATGACCGTCTCGAGCAATATCCTCGCCTCTCCCTCCATCATGCTAGCGACATCGATCGCTCGTCGGCCACTTATAAGGCTACCGCTGATCCGCTTATCACGATTCGTCCACAGCACCGTCACTGCGGGGCCCCGAGGCACAAAATCATACAGACTTTGCTTCTCTTTTGTGCCTGACCTTGGTCCCTCACGGGTCCGCCTCGATCCGCCCGATGGATGTGGAGAGGTCCGCTGACGTGACTTTGTGCAGTGGTCCTACCTGCCGTAACACTTCCAGGATTTCAACGAGGGAGATATCAGGAGAGGGGTCTTGGTCACGAAGCCCGGCGCACCAGCTTCCTCAGGCTTCTTCCTCCCAGGCACCTTGGAAGCGGAAGAAGAAGAACCGTGAATTAACTGAAGATAGTTCGAATATCCCCACTTTGCCAAGAAATTGACCGGAAAAACTACTTACGGCTCGTCTCGGTGAGAGGGTGAGACCGGGAGCCAGGTCGTCAGTTCAGGGAGACAAGCCGAGCCAGACCCCAAGCTCGGCCCATCTTATCTCACTGCACGAAAACTCTGTAGCTCGCTGTAAGAGCCCAACTGCAAGTGATGCAGGTGGTTTATGTCGATCCCAAGATCCGGCATCAATGAAATACAGCACTTATTTGTTGTTTAATAATAACAATAATTTATTAACGCCCGGCGGCTAAGCCGAAAGGGCAACTATTACCGATTGAAGCATACATTCCCCAAGATATGCCCTGATCTCCTTAAAGCCCATGCAAAGTCTATTCTAGCTTATGCACTCTGATTTACCATTTCTCTACGGATTCTCGTGGGTTAGTAGGATTGTTAGTAGGCTAGCTTAAAGTCGGTTCTTTAAATGTTCAACGTCTTATCTTCGGCGGCTAAAGCAGTGCTTGCTGTCCGTGGCACAAAGTAATAGGTATAGGGTCGGTGGAGAGTGATGGTTAGCCGGTTAAGTATTTTAGTCGGCCTGTGGTTAGTTCGTGTCGAGTCGGCTCGTAGTTATTACGAACCGAATCGTTGCCCGAACGGCCTCGACGTTCGGAGCCCAGTCTTCCTTATCCGACGGCGATTTCCCTCCTAGATAGAAGGAAATATTACCTCTATGGGTAATTATATACTAAAGCATCTCTACTCGGCACGCCGTCCATTTTTTATACCGGAAAAAGAAATGTTTTACTATTTCTATTGCTTATCTATATACGTATTAAACTAACGGGACTATCCCGATTCGGTAAAAGTAAGCGTTAAATCTTACTATATTTATTATAAACTAAGCGAGTACGCTTACCTCCTTTTATAATAGGTAGTTATATAGCCGCCGGGTATAATTTCTTAATAGCGTTATATCGATCCTTTTAAAGTATTTACCTACTTTATTTAGTAAGGTCTTAGGAGGTATTTTAGCCTATACGATACAAAGGGTTATTAATCGTATTCTAGGTTCCTAAGCTTATTACATAATGTTCTATTAAGTTACTTCCTTTACTTTTCCCTTAATTATTTTTAGGAATTCGTTTTAAGCGCTCTTTAGGATCTAGATAACCGAGATCGTATTCCTAGCGTCCTGGACAGCTCTTATAGCGTTATAAGCTTCGTAGATATATTGCTGTCCTAACTACTAGCGTGGATTCTTTAGTATTAGTACGGCTGCTTGTGACGAACCCCTGTACAGAACCTCTGAAAGGGATACTGGTTGAAGGTAACTTCTGACAATTGGTTCGGTGCAGCTAAATAGTGCACAACAAGATGTCTCAATGTAAACACAAGATACCGTGAATACAATTGTGAATTGCATACTGCGGAACTGTCTAGCCACACCAGCCAGTTCCTCCGTATATATAGACCTTGATTCTCCCCGATCATGGTGATCATTCCGCTCTTCCCCAATGATCATAATGATCGCTATGATCCTTCTCTGGTTCCTTATTGGTTGTACTTCCGTGATCACTGCACTTCCCAGTCTTATTGCCCATGATCGCCCAGACCGCCGCGACCTTGTTCTGATTGGCTGGTGACCTTGCACTGCTCCACCGTTCCCGATGTTAAGGTTGTGACATGACTCCTTTGAACTTTTTATCATTTCTTGCCGTACCTAAGCAGAAAGTCGAGGCCGCCGCAACAACACATTATTAGCTTCAAGGTTATTATCATACCTTTTAACTGTCTTTACCGTCCCTCGACTATCATAATATGCCTTAAGTCTGTCGGAGGGTTATTGATATAAATTTAAAGCTTTTATGTTACCATCAAATGTCTTCAAGTATCTTTGATTGCTCTGACACCCAACAGCTGAGGAATTTCCATTTTCAGTATAGTGATTGCCATAGTTCGTATTTTTCAGCGCAACCAGCACATCATTATCTCTTGGCTTACCAAGGTACACAATAGTTGAACTGTGTGGCCAAACCAAAATGTAGCTGACCACGAACTCTAGGCATCTTGAAGCACAGAAGCAGGCCTGAACCGATCAAAGTGGACCGACAGTTACCGGCTGACGTTGCTGTTTCATGCGGGTTGGGCCGAAACACGGCCCCACCCCTACGGAGCAGGATCGGGGTGGATCTCCGTAACACCCGAGCCGGGAATAACCCTGTTTAGCTGTCGTAGTAAAGCATCATATAAGTGGGCACTTGTTGTTCGCGGTGATCTGATTGTAATTGACGTGTGAGAATGGCGCAATTTTAGCTTTCTATTCGAAAGACAGAATTCAAAGCATTTGGACTTGGAAAAAAAGAAAGGGCATCAGCTTTTGAGTCACCCGGGCCCACTTCGGAGTTGAATCGGAGAATCTTGCGAATAAAAGTGGGACGCCAAAGGGGGTTTGTTTGTTGACCGCTGCCGATTTCCGACTCACCGTGTTGCTTTATACCTTCCGAATCACTTTCAACCAACAATCAAAATGCATGCTGTGAGGATACTTCCAGGCTGCAGCGGCAGCTTCACTGCACGCTCAGTGCTGATTAGGGAATATCGTCAACGCACAATATCCTCCTTTTCCGTGGGTCAGTTGGTACGGCAATTCCGCCAGAATGCAACACCAAAAGATGCGGCGGCCGTTGTGGTTGGCGCCGGCCCCGCTGGGATTGCGGTTGTGGGAAATCTCCTGGAACAGATCAAAGACGATGGGAAAATTGTGTGGGTAGATGAGCAGTTCCAAGGGGGAAGAATCAATAAATTTTATCGCGAAGTGCCCGGGTAGGTCTACCTTTTATTCTCATCAAATGCTGGCTTGACTCATCAAACTAACTCAAAGTCAGTAACACTGCGGTAAAGCTCTTTGTTGACTATGCCGAAGCTTTGAAGCCATTTCAACACATTCTCAACACAGCACACAAACCAAATGCCATCACGGCCCTTGAGAAGCTCCCTCAAAGCGGGACCTGCTCTCTCAGCTACGCAGGCGATATGCTCAACTTACTCACTGCCGGGTTGAGGCAACACCCCCGAATCCAGACCGTGGAGGGAAAAGCTACCTCGGCTCATCTCGACCCCCAGTCCAAACACTGGACTCTCACCACGACCTCCGAATCATCATTAACCACAAGCCCACTGGTAGTCTACTGCACAGGCGCTTTCCCGTCCACCACTCCCCTCCCACCCTCCAGTCCACCAACGATACCCCTCGACACAGCTCTTACCCCATCCATCCTATCCACCACCATTCCCCGCGACCAACCTTTCACCATCGGCGTAATAGGCGGCTCCCACTCTGCCATCCTGGTGCTGATGAACCTCTACAAACTCACAACCACAAGCCACCCATTACTCAAGATCAAATGGTTCACCCGTCACCCCACCCTCCGATATGCCGTCCAAAAAGACGGCTACATCCAATACGACAACACGGGCTTGAAGGGCAAAGCTGCAGAGTTTGGAAGAACACAACTTGACGGGGACGTGCTACTCACTAGCGACGCAGGCAAATTCATCACACGAATCGACTGCTCGGGAGGGAAAGAAAAGGAATGGGCATTGCTAGAGAGGGAGTTGAAAGATTGCCAAGGGGTGGTGCAGGCTGTGGGGTATACCCCAGCTCCCATCCCTGAGGTGAGGATAGGGGATGGGAAAGAGGTCGTGAAGCTGAGGAAGGATGCGAGGACAGGGGCTTTCTATGCAGAGGATGGGGAAAAGAAGTCGATTGGGCTGTTTGGAGCGGGTATTGCATTCCCGGAGGAGGTTGATACGCCGGAGGGGGAGAGGGAGTATGCGGTGGGGATGTGGAAGTTTATGAAGTTTTTGAAGAGGGTTGTGCCGGAGTGGGTGGAGGGGAGCCGGGCTTAGAGCACGATGGTAATAACTTGTTTGTGATCCAACTATCTGAACAGGATGAACTTGAATGCGCGAAGAAGCAACTGTGTTGTGACGTGGAAGCAAAAAAAATGAGCATTTGCTCTGGTGCCATTGACGGCACAGCAGGAAACAAGGAGTTCATACCAGTCATGTAGTACAACGTCATGTCTCGAAGCCACAACTCTTGGAGCATAACCTGAATTGGATTGTTCTTCTCTTATTGGCTGAAGATTATTATTCCTCAACACTGAGGCCTAGTGGGTGTGGGGGTAAAAATGCTACCCGCGTTATGGACAAAACAATAACAGGGGTGTGTTGGGATTTCTTTCTTGTCCGCCACTGACAGCTGTCGGGTCATCTCCATGAAGTGGGGCCCAACGCTTTCAGAACCCAAACACTGTTCCAACATGGAGCTTGAATGCCAATTGTCTGACTACCTAGCTGTCAATGTATGCATGCAGTATGCATTTGAAAGCCGCCATTGGGGTGAGATCAAAACCTGGATGAACAGAAGGTTGCGTACAGGCTTCCGAATCTGACAGGGGAAAGGCGGATCTCCCGCCAGGACGGTCCCGAGTTACAATGATCTGATGGAACGATCAGTCCATGGACTGTAATCCTCCGCCTAATGGGTTTGTTATAGGTACGCTTTGCTCTTATATTGCATGCTTCTCGTCTGTTTTGGTCTTCTCGCTCAAGTTATTTTTCCCTCACAAACTCAGGTTGATGAGGTTTTATTCTTGCCGCTATTGAGTTGACCGCATAGTTTTCGTCAGCAACATGGTATCCTCAGACAGTCACGATGGGATGGCTTTCTCCCTGGTAGCAGAGCTCCATCCAAACGAAGAGCCAGAAAAGTCCATCAACATCGAATTTTCAAAGAGGAGCCAGAACCCAGGATTAAGCATCGATGCCGTTGCTGTTACTTCTGATGCTATCATCACCGGCAGGGCCACATCCGCTGAACAACAAGCCATGACAGAGTCCATCCGTATAACGGAGGACTCGGCCGTTGAAGCTTTAAGATGTCGGAATAAAACTACTCAGAGGTTGTCCGAGCCCATCGAGAAAGAACAGAAAAATTTCGAGTTGGGGCAACGTGGGGCCAGTGACAGCCAAGATCTCATCGGAGAAGGTTCGGCTTTAACAATCAACAGAGAGCTAGGGCTGGTTGAGGGCTACGAACTCGAGGTCTTACACGAACCAAGGCCTCCAGATATTCCCAAGGCAGACGTCGTCATTGTTAACGGGAGTGGACAAGCTTGGGAGGTTCCGTGGACTTTTCAAGAGAAAACACCCCACCCAACCCATCAAGCACCTGAAATGCCAAAGAGGGGTGTTTTGGACAACAGCAAGATGCTGCCTCGTGATATTGGTAGCTGGGGCCGGATAATGAACTTTCACTGGCCCTGGAACTTCCTTGCCGACATCTCCGATGACGAAGCCAACAACTTTCTCGCTAAAACAGCTGACAGACTTCTGACTCAACTACGGAAGATTCCCAAAGACAAATCCGCAAGCAGTGATTTCCTCGTCCTCATAGGACTGGGTTTGGGTGTTGCATTATCCACAAGCTTATCGTTATCCTTCATTCGGTCGGCCCTTTGAAGCAGACTGTGCTGGATGAAATTGTCAGCATCGTGCTAGTGGATTCCCCAGATCCACGAGGTCCACCGAGTTTGCTTGAAGCTTTTAGTGACTTTTACCATACGATCTTGGAAAGAGAGCTGTTTACTGCTTCGCTTTATCAAGAATTGTCGCCTGACGAGGTGTGTACTTTCTCGTCCAAGCCTACCTACCCCTTCGTGCGCTAACTTTGGCTAGGATCTGTTGGATTTCATCACTGACCTCTCCGCCAGCGCCGTTCACTCACGCCCAAAGAGAGACTTGAGATCGGATGGAAGATTTCCTATGGATCAAAGTTATGAATATCTTGTCAACCGCATGCGTTGTGGCCTCGTTCTTATATGTGTTTCTGACTGGATATCTGGAATCGAAGTGACTCCAGAGGCGGAACGGCCAGGGAAAATAATAACATCGAAGAGGAAAAAGAAAAGGAGGCAACTGAGAAAAGACAGATTGATTGTTGACGGGTTCCTCGCCAAATTGATCGAGGAATGCACGGAAAGCGGGTTCCAGCTCGAATCAGCGACAGATCCCTTCGGCCTAACCGCTCTGCACCGAGCGGTCATGTCTGGCAATGAGCCAGCCGTCCAGCGGCTGGTTTCGGCATTCCAAATATGGTCGATGTCGCGGATAAAGATGGCCGTATCCTGCTGCACATTGCAGTCATGAAAGCCTCTCGTACTGGCCAGCAAAAGTCAACATGGGAAGCGATTATCCAAAAGCTTTTCAGTACTTTGACACCCAGGCAAACAGCTGGCGCAAATCCTAAGGACCACCGAGGTTTCACACCATGGGACTATGCAGAGAGGGCGATGGGACAGCACAGAATGTGGCTGAAGAAGCTGAAGATTCATGACCTACGAACCGGAGCAACGGCAGCACAACATGAGAGGCTTGAGGCGTTGGTCGCTCCTCCGCAAGACTCAGACCAATATGTAGCTTGCCATAAAGCAGAAGCCACACTGGTTCAACTCTACATCCAGGATTCCACTGGCGACAAAACCGAAAAGTTCGAAATGCAGCATCCGGATGTCTACAAAGTCCTCTACAACCCACAGCATCAAGCCCACATCATTTTTGATCGGAACAGAATACGGTCTCTCACATCGACTTGCCGGTGGATTCATCTACCGGCAACGAATGTAAGTGCTTGTGCCTCGGTTTGCAAGCCGTTGCTAACGATACCGCGATAATAGGAGAAATGGGCCCAGGTGAATACCTTCACTTGTTGTTTTTTTGTTGAGAGGGCTAGGACTGACCGTATTGGTTCAGGATCTTTTCACGAGCCTGAAAATCATTGACAGATCTATGCAGGATCGGCACCATCAGGGTATCGTTCCCGTGCACTTGTGACTTTACACTACCAATGATCACTGGCTTCTAGACTAACAATTCTTGAAAAAGGGGCCCAAATTTATGACAGATTCATGATGTCAGGCAGCCACGGATATACTCAGGTACAAATGGACTTGACACTTCATCCACATCTTGTGGTAGGTGCAAAGAAAATATGCTGACAGTCAGATCACAGGCGCTTGAAGGGAACCCGAACCAAGGCAGTCCACACAGAGAATGATGAGCCATAGCTTTATTCGTATGATAACATATCTCCGATCACGCAACACACAAATTCTCTAACACTGTAACAAAGATTCCGATACTCGGCTTTGGGACGCACAGTTCTCAGAAAAAACTGGCCGCATTAATGAAAGGAGAGTACCCTTCAATGAATCAACAAGAATCACGTTTTAGACGAGAGAAGTCTAGGACATTCACCAGAATGCGCCAAGAGCCAACCGAAACCTTCATTGAGCGACCGGGAGAACCACTGATGACTCTGCTTCTCCGAGGGTATTTGAGGCCCAGAAGGAACGACACCTCACTTCACTGCCGATGTACTCTTGATCAGTTCACTTATCGTACCCTCGAGAGTGCTCAGGAAAGGAATGACAATCAGGTTATGCTGAAGTGGAGTAGGAAACACCGCCACAATATAAACTCCTCCAAATATCCTCTACTTATGGTAGACCAACTCTGGCTATGGATTCTGGACGACAAAGATAACACAGTTGTCACATGCTGTCCTGATTCCGACTCCGATCATCCGACAACGAACGGTAGCCTTTTGTATCACATGCGAGCGAGGCTCAAGTCGAAAAACAGCCGTCCCCTCATTCAATCTCGGCTGGAATTGGCACATTTGATCATCAAGTGCAGGGTCACGTTTCTGCGCCGGCAGGGACCCCTGCATGCCTCACTTCAAGAAACATTTGAGACCAGTATAAACGAGATTGTACGTCTTCGTCAAAACATCATCATAAGAGTGCGGAATTCCTGCTAACTGTATTTTTTGGCAAGTCCAATGAGCTATCACAGCAGTTCAAAAGCTTCCAGGAGCTGGTCAAAAGCCTTGACGCCAAGTAGAAGATAACCCAGCGAGAGAAACTCAAACTTACCGACAAACTCTTTGAGCTTACCAAGGAAACTGCCCTTGTGGCTAACATCATGGATATCCAAAATAAACTCAAGACAATCAGGAGTGTTTTTCTCGCCCAACACGAAGCCATCAGGTAGTTCCGAGAGCTGGCGCCCATGTTTTCCAGCTGTTCGACATCAGCTGAGACAAACCAGCCAAAGAAGAAGAAGGCTATGAGAAAACCTTTACGGGAAAATCAAGTCAAGGATAATGTTAAGCTGATAAAGTCGAACATTGAGGCGGTGGATGAACTGGCTAGGAATGCCGTGAACATACACAGAGAGGTATGGGGAGGATCTCATCCGTGATTAATGTTTGTCGGACGTGACTAATCCTGAACTAGCTGAATAACCTGTTCGATCTCAAGCAGAAGCTTGCCAACGTCTGGGAGGCCAGATTCCCGCAGATTGGCACTGAACAGGCTCGTCGCCAGGGGAATGTATGTCGTATTTTAATCCAGTTCAAGCTGTGCTACCAGTGATGGATAACTGATCTCGGCGGAATTAGATCACATTGGTGTTTACCCTTGTCACCCTCTTTTTCGGGAGTAGTCAAAAGTCTTTGTTTCCGTCGCACATTTGGACAAATTTATTTGACAATGGACAAGATCTTGCTGATTCCGCAGCTCCCCCTGTCTTTCATGGCAAGCGTACTGGCCATCCAGCTTGCTATCTATACCCACAGGAGAAGTTCTGTGGCCAGCTCGTCAAGCCTTTGGATACCTGAGTGAGTTTAAGTCGCCCCAGGTAATATCCCTCATTCGACTGACCCTCTTCTAGTTGGAATCTCATTTGCTGTAATCTTTCCGCTCATTTTCATCGCCTTCAGAGTCAACCCAATAGCAGGGTTCTTCTCAACCTACATCTGGGCCCAACCACGCGAGCCCGACGAAGAGCCAACCTACGTCCCACTTGCCCCTAAACTGAAAGATTTTCATACCCATATTCCTGGCCTACGGCGCTTATGGGAGTAGCGTAGGTATCTCTCTGCACAATCGGGGACCTCGTCCTCCAACACTGGAATGGTGTCCAGTGACCTCCAGGGTGAGAAGTGGAGTAGTGCTGTTGAGACAGACTACCCTCTTCATAGGTGGGGCTTGGGGCTGAGGAGGGTGTTCAGACGGAAGGCGATGGAGGATCTAGATGGTGGGAATGGTAAGCAGGGGAGTCAACATGGTGGGAAGTATGATGGTGATGACTTGGGACAGGTGGGGGACTATAAGCAGACGATGGCGTATGGTGCGATGAAGGAAATGGTGAAGGAGGTAAGAGGAAGCGACGATGAGGTGCAAGAAGAGAGTAAAGGGAAACTAAGAGGTGCTGTTGATGGGGTGACGGAGCGGATGAAAGCAAGCGTGTCGAGACGGCGGGTAGTTGCGAGGGTGGATTTGGAGAAGGGGGACTTGCGGTAGGATCACTGATGAATTGGGGGATACCGGGTATGAGGAAGATATGATGCGTTGAGTTTCAAGTGCCTGAAATAATTCCACGGTGGTTTTTAACGTCTTCAAGCAAGAGTGAATGTGGGCATGTTTATTGCCCTGGCTGGCTTGTCCGGAAATTTTAGTTAATGAGGTCTATCAAGATTCTGTCATTATATGCGGTAGGTAAGCTCAAGATCGGGCAGTCTACCTGTGGGTGAGACTGAAGCTGCCTATTCCTTACCGCAGCATACCACCATCGCAGCTCGCTTCCAGACAGTATGTCAGACGTGTGTTAACGGCCTACGGCTGGGTACAGGCGTAGGGCACAGGTAAGAGATTGAATTGTTAGATCAAGAAAAGAAAAGGAAGATGAAATAAACTGCCCACGACGTCTTGTTATACCTGTCAAAACCTCCGGACTTACCCTACAAAGCGTGCGAAATATCCATAAAAATTGTCCGAACCTCCTCGTATGTACTTATATCTCCTTCAACCTCCTGCCTCCTCCGTCAATCGCCGGCCAAATAACTCTAACCCGGATAGCATCCCATAACAACGTGCACGTGACTGGTGCTACTATAGTCCAAGCCTCTTGAAGGAAACACTCAGGGAAGCAAGAAGATACAAATTCACGTTCAGAAAATTGGGAGGCACGTTCGCAAACAAAACGGCAGAATTCCCTTCCTGTGTTGGCGAGCGGTCTGCATTGACTGGAGGTCGCACCCAAAGAACTTCGATTAGAATCCGACCAGGCAAAGCTTTTCAAATCAACTTGTTGATATTGCTTATCGAGGGGAGAAGCAGCCTAGTGTAGGACCATTTATGGCGCAAAGGACATTAATGACGGATGCAGACAAAGTGTGTTAGGGTTAACCTCTGAGAGCTTAGCAGGCGCCATATAGCTTTCAGATCTCGTCTCAATATTCACCAAATTGTCCAATGGCTTTGTGGTCTTGAACGTTCATCCCAGTTAACCCGTGGTTCCCACGTTAGGATGAAATTACCTGTAGTATGGCTGCAAAGAGCAATTACGACCGCACCTTCCCAAAGTCCTGCCTGCTTATTTGGCCTCGGGCCACACATTCCATTTTCTCTTGCCAAATCCGACAGCTTGAAAAAAAAATTCTCGATCACTGTCCAGACTTTGCACCACAGCAAACCTTTCGACTGAGCTTTTTTCCCATGTCAACAGCCCTTTTGCACCTGGGATCATCCTTTTCTCCGCCCAACTCCCCACCGTACACCCGACATTTCGTTTTCAATGGCGACTACCGGCCTTCTTGATCTCTATGCTGTCGTGCCAGCCTTTGGGCATTGATCCCTCGTTCTGAAGTTTGCTGAGTTTAAGCAGTTCTTTGAGAATCCTTGATTTTCCCCGGCCAACCAGGGCCACAATGGTAACGCCATTGTACTCAACAACCTCGCGTTGCTGTTTCGTGCCCACCATTTCTTTCTCGAAATGCGAGGAGATCCCAAGTATGACAAGATAATCGGTGGGACACTTGGCAACGCGCCACTTTCTGGCGGATTCATTGCGATTCAACAAAATATGTTGAGCGACCGTGCTCAGTATCTTGCCGAACATGAAGGCCCTTCAATGCCCCGCCATCTCAATGATAGGCAGCAATATATAATGAAGCTGCTTGACGACATCGCAGGTGTGGAGAAGTTTCGGCCGAGCATTGGAGCTCAGGACAGACTTGCCGACACTCGAACAGACTGGGCAGCGTTTCTTGAAACGCTCAAAACTGATGGGAAAATTGAGGGTAGTCACTCGGACTGCTACTACAGTCCCACCGCAAGTGACTCGGAGTCTGCTCAGTCAGATGAGGGTAAGTAACTGTCCTCTAATGCGACCTTGATCCTGAACTGATCGCTAACACACTTTACCTCTGAGAAGAAACGAACCTTCGCTATGCCCGGCCTCCGAGGCGTCACAGAAGACCCATTGTGTATAGCCCTGATGTTACGAAGCTCGCCGGCGAGCTTGCTAGACACGCTCATGCAATTCAAAAGGCGTTTCATGACTTCGACGAGTCTGGTAGCGTGTTGCCAGCACCATTTCGGGAGCTCTGCCAGGGCTTCAATTTCATTCAGCGTTGCAGCAAACGCATCCAAGAGAGTTGCACCACTGTCGATGCAGCAACCAGCAAGGTCGACCAGCATGTCGAGGATGCGGCAGCTGTTGTCTCTGAAACAGACAGTCTGTTTTTGGATCAGTTAAATTGAGCTTTCCTAATTTGTTTGTTCCTGTATGTTTACCTTCTTATACTCTGGGCGGTTAATGGAGAATGGTTGACTGACTCTAAACTAACTAGATAGGCCGAGGCTTTGAAGATCTTCTGCAAACCAAAACTCGAATTGGGCGTACATGCGTCCTTTGGGAAATGCTGAAATAGCTTGCAAGGTGATGGCCAGGGTACGCCATGGTGTTGTTACATGAGTTCGCTAAGATGGATATATTGTAGAGTGCATCTGGGTATCAACAGCGTCTTTTGGGAGAGAAGACAGATCTCGGATTTGTTGAATAGCATAGCGTAGGAAAGAATGGATTAATCGTAACATTATCAACTGTTAGTATATACAAAGTCAGATTCCAAGGGGATAGTTGACTGCTGACCGCGGCCTCGAGATGTAGCAAAGGGGTAATCGATGACAAAGGCTCAGGGCCTTATTTATACTTCAGCCACCACCTCCTAGCTACCACGTTATATACCACGGCTCTTGAATAGCCCTCTAAACTGGTGGACTAATTGCTTGGCACGGCTTTTAGAATTTAGTTTAGAGTTCGGCTTGGCCTGGCTCTGAAAGCGAGGTTCAGAGGGCCTATTTTTGAACGAAAAGTTCACGCCCTTAGTGTCGTTCTCAGTCCTGTAAATCCACCAACCAACCACAGGCTGGATCGTGTCCCGCAGAGGTGTAACTCTACCAGAAGCTGATGCAGGTACAGAGTCGTCCACGCCAAATCGTTCGTTATATGTTATCCCTCGAATGCCCACCGATCCCGCCACCATCCGGCTGTGTATCTCATCACGGAAGTACACAATCTTAACCGGAACTGCAGCGAAGCCGTTAGGAATCTCCTCCGTCTTAGCATAGCCATATTTGACTCCGTCAAGGGTCAGTCTGCTGGGCCAGTTGTTATCGCCATCGTACGTGCACTGGCCCAGCGAATCCCAGAAACAAAAGGCTGAGATCCAGCCGGTGAGGTCATCCGTCCCGCTATCGGACTCTCGATCTACGGAGCGGGCCCAGAAACTGAGCACATCCGGGTCTCTTGGGTTGTCGAAGCTGGCGATGAAGCGGCGGATGATGGGGCCAAGCAACAGGCCAAATGTTGTGGGCTCCTTGCCGAGACGGGGCAAACCATCGAGTCGTTTGAGAATCTTCTCGTAGTCCACGCGCTCACCCAGAAGGGTAACGGAGGGCATACCACAGCACGTGTAACAGGTGTAAGCGAAGTATTCCTTTAGCCCTCCCATCATAAGGATGCTGCCAACCACGAGATCGTTGTCGGTAGTGGTGGTGAAGTTGGGGATGATCCACTGACGAAAGTCTGGGTCGAGCACATTCTCCTGGAGTAGGTGCGTCATCTTCTTGGCAAAGACGCCAAAGTCAACGTTCTCGAGACCACCGCCTTGATCGTCCATCTCAATCGAAAGTTCCTTCTTGCCTTCGTGGGCTACAAATAGGGAGCGTAGAGCTTCGGCGTTCTTGTTCATGTAGAAACTGAGCTGTGTAAGAATGGCGAACCAGATGTCCTCGGGACGGAGGACAACATGGTGATGATAGCTGTACGCATGAACCATGGTGTTGACGAAGCCGTTATTGGAAGGCGAGACGAAGCTGTCGGCCAAGTCCTTATCGTCGAAGGCGAGGGAGCACTGGAGAATGCCTTTGCTCTGGCTATGCTCTTCGTGCGACACTCCAGCGAGGAGGGCACTCGAACTAGTCGCCTTCGGGTTCACGTACTGGGGCCCTGTCTCATTCTCACGTCGAAAGGAACTATCAACCTTGAGCTCTCGGTCCCACGCCTCGGGCCATGTGTTCCCGGTCTTGATTGTGACAGGCATGACGTCTACGGTCTATGTGCCAACTAGGTACGGTAGGTATGGGTGGAAACAACGGAGAAATAGCGCACTGAACGTCGCCTTTTATATATCAAGTGTCGGCGAGGTCTAGTTGAGCGACGCAGTCAATCGAAGGAAGTTGCGATCTGGCACTGTCGAGGATACGCGCCTTTGCTAGCACTAGGCAGCAGCATGCGGGGACAGGTCCACTATCTGGTCCCTAACCCTTGATTTCGGAGCAAGGTGCCTAGGTATATCAATAAGAAATTTGCAGTTGAAATTCAACAAAAAGGTCCCGTGGCGCAGTGGTCTTGAGTGTTTATCACATAGCATTCTATTGATAAAATTACCCGCAGTGCTTAGCGTTCTATATCTGCATGGTTCGAGTCCAATGTCTGTCACCTCTTGCCGATGTCCCCCCCGAGCACCACTTTCATCTGATTCACTTTCATTTCTCTTTGATTATGACCATGTAAGTAGACAGGTACACGGTATCGGTTGCCTTGAGATGTTGATTTTTTTCTTGTTGTCGTTGAAGAATACAAGCAAACGCACCGCAGTAAGCCCGTGCAAACGAAGGGCATCGTCAGCTCTCCTGGTAATAAACGGCTTTCTGGCGTGTGTAAGCTGTCAAGATAAAGTTGCTCTGCGTTTGCAAACGGTACTTCAACAATCACAAGCGCCGAGTGTATCATCCAAGCCTCTAGATAAATAATGAAGTTTGCATGGTAAAAAAGAAAGCTTGGGCGGTGATGAAAAAGGACTGGGTAATGATAAAACTTTTGAGGGTTGGGCTCAGATGAGGATAATCTGTCTGTCATGTAAGAGCTGTCTTAATCATTTGTATTACTGAGTACGGATATTAAGTTTTTCTATAGGTAATTAGGTACTTCCTCGCCGAGTCATATTTTTTTCTTCTGTGGGCTTTTTTCCCTGTTCATTAGGACTGCATCACAGCATCGATTTATGTCATGCAACAAATATCACCACATTAACACGAGACAAGTACCGCTATGCAGTATCCGAGTAAGTCAAACAGATCAAAAATGTATGAGTGACATATACGAGTCGCTTGTGTGACATTGCTATGCTCAACTAACAAAGTAAATCCAAATGATCGTGGCTACGGCATAAGATGAGCAATGTTGCTGCGCATGGTATCCCAAACAAACTAAAAAGAAAAAAACGCGAGCAAAACACACCTGTTTCATGAGTCACTATAATATCGCTTAGTTGGGAGTAGGAGTGGGAAGAGCCTCATCGTCCTCTTCGTCTTCCACGTCAGTCTCAACGGGAGGCTCATCCTCCACGTCGGTGTCAGTGGGCTCAGCATCCACGGCAGTGGACACAGGTGTGGGCTCCTCATCCTCCTCGTCACCGCCGGGGAGAGTGGAAGTGGGAGTTGGGGTCTCAGTGGTAGCAGTGGGCTCCCCATCGTCCTCTTCCTCAGCAGGGAGGGTAGGTGTAGGAGTAGGTGTGGCAACAGCCGATGTCGTGGTTGGGGGAACAGTGGCATAGTACAGGTTCAACCGGTCAACAGCACCGCAGAGCTGTGTCGAGTCACCGGCGCACCGGAAAGTGCAATCGCTAGCAGGTGCCACCTCTCCGTAGAGGGTGTTGCCACAGAAGCATTCCCTGCCGAACTCGACACCAAAGAAGTTGAAGTCCTTGCAAATGGCGGCGCATGTCTCGACTGTCATGTTGTCGCTACGCTCCACGACATCGCGAAGGGAGCGGTCGCCAACCTGATCGGTCCAGCAGGCCTGGTAGTTGAAGCCGGTGACGCTGAGCGGGCTTTCCGGATCCGGGAGACACTGGGCGTTAGAGTAGACGTTCAACCTGTTGGCGTCGCCGCAGACCTGGTTGTAGTTGCCGGCGCAACGCATCGCGCACTCGGCCTGGGGAACCTCCTCGGCTGTTGGCTCCAGTGTGTCACCGCAGTAGCATTCTTCCGCAAATGAGACGCCAAAGTAATCGTATCCGGAGCAGGAGGCCGCGCACTTCTCCAAGGTCATCTGTGAGTCGTAGGTGGTCTTGCCTCTGAGCGAACGCTGACCAACGGCATCGGTGAAGCAGCCAGCGTATTCGAAGTCGCCAACATTTTCAGGGGAAGGAAGAGGGGATCCCCAGACATTGATCCGGCCGCCGGCACCGCAGAGCTGAGAGTCGTCTCCGGAGCAAGGGAATGAGCAATCTATTTCAAGGGCAGGGTTCTTTGGCTTGGAGTTTCCACACCAGCACTACAGAGACGAAGTCAGTGTTTAACTCTAATATTTATGCAGGGCAACGACAAGACTTACCTCTCTGCCATACTCGAGACCAAAGTAAGAATAGTTGGAACAGTGGGCAGCACACTTCTCAGCTGTCATATCACTCGCGCCCAGGAGGTTGTTAGGGAGCACACGGGGTCCCTCGTCAACAAAGCAACCGAGGTAAGGTGTGCTCAGGGTGGCGGGGGCTCGGGGAACGTAGAGTCCGTTGGTGTAGAGGTCGACACGGTTACCGGCGCCACAATTCTGTGCTGGGTTGCCAGCGCACTGCATAGAGCACTGGGTATCACTGACGGGCTGGGCAGTGTAGGAGTTTCCGCAGTAGCACTCACGGCCAAATTCGAGGGCAAAGTACTTGTGCCTAAAGCAGAAGGACGCACAGCTCTCGACGGTCATGGCATCACTGGCGTAGGTAGAGGCGGACAGAAGACGTTGGCCATTGACGTTGCTGACGAAGCATCCATTGCGGGTTGACGAAGTGCCCTGGCGTTTGAAGACATTGCCGTGAGGGACGGCCTGAGAAGCGGCAATAAGGCAAAAGAGAGACACAGCCCGCAGGCCAGAAGATGAGCGAGTGGAAGCCATTGCTAGATTGTCTTGCACAGTTAACGAGAGGCAATGCGGTGCGGTGATGAAGAGAGCGCTGGGGGTCCGAGATTATGGTGATAGCAGGGAAGGGGCACTGCCCATTTATCTGTGTTGATTTTCCACCCTCATCGAACCTCTGTTGCTCTTGGGGGACTTGGCTGAGAAGCTGCAGGAGGGAAATTGGAGTTCGATAGTGTCGACTCCATCATCATTCAAGGTCAGGGGTCTGGGACGCCACCTCGCATGTCTTGCATTCTGTGGAGTCGGCGCCTCCCAGCGCCGCACATGACTGTGGAATGCAGCACAAAACCGGTCAATAAATCTGATTTCCATAATCTCTTCCTTACAGGTGGCGTTTATGCTAGAACTATTGGGGAAAATACATTCGCGGTGGTCGTACAGCAAAGCTGTAGCTGCTGTGGGCTGGGCTCGGACGTCGTGGTCCCAAACGGGGATAGACGAGACGAAGCTGTGGATTCAGCTGGTGCTGGAGACTAGCCCTAGCCGGATTCGGAACGGGCGGACGAACTCGACCGGACCGTTGGGTCTAGGAATCTAGAAGAAATCGTAAGACAGCAAATTCCAGGCAGTCGGATTCTTCATGTGATGTGTCTTGCTGGAATGCCGGTGGGGGCCAGATGGAACTCTCATCTTCGAGGGATGATAGACCTGATCGGTGGTGTTTGACTCATCCCAAAGACAGCGACAAACACTGATAGAAAGTAAACATCGCCAACAAAACACAGGCTGAAACCTTGACAAGACACCTGTCACTGTCCAAGCTCCCCAAAAACGTGGGAAACCGAAACAAGCTTTTTTCTCGGACGAGCGACCGGTGCTGCCCCACAAAAACAGCAATTGGGAGCTTCAATTGGCTGCAGTCCGCTAGCCTAGTGGGTCCCACAAACACGATGTCGTCCTTAATTGGACCGCAGGGACCCGCCATCTCGTGGGAGCCAGCTCCACTTTCCACTTCATCGAGAATTGGGCCAATTTTGTGATGCACACGATGCTACCATGATCCAGCCTTGGGAAAATCGGCTCGAAAGATCCTGCCGAGGCCTCGTCTGACTCTTTCTGCTAGTGTCTCGGCTTTGTGGCTTCTTTGGGTCTTCTGGGTGTTCTATTCTTGTTCATCACATTCCTCAGCAATCATGTCTGGCCCAAGCACATGGTCGACGATCCAGATGACTCGATGTCTCAAATACCATCCCCGAAGAATGGGCCCAGCATCAGCAATGATCTGTATATACTAGTCAAATATGTTCCCTTGCCTCGTGTCGGCGATATGCTCTCGGCCTTCTGTTGGCCCAGGCCCTCAATCAATGTCTCGGTGCCTTCACCGAGTCTGAGGATTCATACCAGAACATCATGAAGAAAGCCAATTCGGAGCCTTATCAGTGACTTATGACTCGAGTATGTGGTCATTTGGAAGGTGAAGAAGTCTCATGAGTGTGACTGAGGTCACCAGGAAGTTCCAGGGCAGTGCACTTGGTTTTCTCCCCGAGCCGACATTTTTGGGATTTCCTCACCGCCAGGTCTGCCAGGAATGAAAGTCGTAATAGTCTAGAGCCTTGCTTCAAGTTCAAGTTTCTCCGACGATAGCCACGGCACTGGGGTTCCTTGCTTGACTCTTTGGGAAGCAAGCACTGGGTTAAATCGCGACACGCACATGCCACCTCCAGTAGGTGCGTCAGGAATGGGTAAGGGGTGTTGGGGAAGACTTTCGATGGAAGGACACGAAACAAATCAATAATGTTGGTTCTTTCAATCCAACATCTTTTCAGATCAAGTCCTCGGCCATTCTCTCATTTATACTTTGAAAAAGTGCACCTGAGAATGTGGAACTTCTACCCTGGATAAAGAAAGCAAGTGGGTAGGAATGTCTTGATTCTTCAGCCGAGTACATCTGAATTTAGTCAATCAAAAATCACAATAGCGCACCCAAGGGGTGCCAAGGTTGATTAAAGACGTGATTGTTTTGATGCTTCTGTAACGGGCCTCCCGGTGCAGTGGCTTAGGTCGGGGGTGGTATCCCTTAATTGATAGGTGCTACATGGAGGGTTTGTTCTTTCGGTAGAGGCAGTAGTGACTCTCTGCGGGTGGAGCTAATCCTCAAACACAGAGCACAGTACTTAAATGAGATTCTGGGAGCAGTAATTCAACAAAATTAGCCTGATGGTGTAGTAGTTTGTGTGTTCCGCAGTTAATCCCTAGTTTCTAGGTTACGAGAAGTCAACCCGCAGTATCGGCCGGTATTGCCTTGGTTCAAACCCAACACAAAATATTTTTTTAAGTAGGTAGCCCTTTTTTTATCCTTCCGTGGTAAGCTATGGATCTTTGTCCCTTATGTATAACATCTTTTAAAGTTGAGAACCGGGAATTCTCCCCACCCATACTCTTAACGAAAAATATAATTGCGGCTCTCTAAACACACAGCAAAGCAAGAGATGCACATTCCCTGACTCTGATCTACAACTTGACACAAGTCACCCAACATTATCGAGGTATCTATCACTGATCCTGATACTATTATTGATGTTAGCTTTTCAGTCTTTGCATTGATTGCAGGCCTGTTCCGGTACTTCTCTGCTCTTTGCCTTCCTTCGGCTCGCTTCATTATGTGCCTTACTCACCGCCCCCTTTGGCGGTATTATGTAGGATTAGCCCATCGGTGCCCATTTCCAGTAGAATTATCTGATTATTCTTCCATCTCTCCCACAGTTAATGAGAAAAATCAGTGCGTCCATTCGGGTTTAAATTGATAACTAGATGGGTGCTTGTTAAGGTTATCCAAGAACCTCTGGTCTTATCTATCATGCATCGTCTTTAATTATCAATGAGCGCCTGATATTTATAAATAGGTGATCAAAATACCTGTGATAGCCTACCTAAGTATTCTTCCAGACCCAATATGTATCTTCTAACTTACGTTTGGGCAATATTCCTCGCACGGAAATATCTCCAATCGTTTTGTGGCATGGCCGGTCCAGAGATGGTGCTACCCGTACTGTGATGGCTTACAAGCAGACAAATCGACACCAGAGGCAGCAAACCGGCATGTATTATGTGAGTGACACTTGAAACACGACCCCAAGGACCCCATAACAGCAACCAAGAGCAACTGACGACAATGACCTTGGTGATGTGGCCCTCCATGGTTCTTTCCGTAGAGTTCAGCTTGTGTCGCCCTCCTCCTTCCTCGTTGCTTATCTCCCTTTGATCTTACTGGTTATCTCTGCCTTTCCACACATTTCTTCAATGGAATTGATGAAAACTCTTTTCTCCTATTTGCTTCCCATTCTTTTAACCCACTTTCAAACGAGAGGCCTTTTGTTCTTATTTATTTCTCAGTTTCACGACTCCAAAGCCCGCCACCAAATCGATTCGCAGTGTGTGTTCTCCTGATCACCTGGGCACCTGCCAGCGTGTATATGTATGTATACACAGTTTTAATCTCGACTAGCCTGATTGCTTTGGTATTTGGCTGACTAGGTACTTTCCAGACCCCGTATTTCCCCTTTCCTGTCGATCGCCAGTTTCCCGACTCGAAAGATGCCTCTCGCCGATCCAAGCACGATTTGGCTGGACCTTTCTTCCGTTTGCCCGGGGTTCAGTCGCGGTCGTCTGGTGGTTGTGAAAGCAGATGATCATGACCTTCGTCAGTTTTTTGAGGATCCGTCTTTCTTCCCCCAAATTTACCAGGCCAATGAGGTTATTTTGAATAACCTGACTCTGCTATTCAAAGCCCATCATTGGTTCATTGAGTTACTTGGGAACAGAAGGCATTCCAAGATTGTGGCAGCAACGCTGGGGTACTCGCGCTTATACGCCAGGTTTAGCTCGATTTTTGATAAATTTCTCACCAATCGGAAGCTTTACTTGGCCAGCAACGAATGCCCCCGGTTTCCGCTGAATGCGAGGTCCACACAGGTGTATATGTTGAGGATCATTGACGACACCCTCAAGTTTGGCAGGGTTGGATCATTACTCGGCGCCAACTATCGTCTTGCGGACTGCAAAGAGAGATGGCAGGACTTTTTGAAGGAGTTGAAAGTCACCGGAGATATGACCGTCGGGGATAGTGACTCGGACTGGACATCTGGGTCTGAGGAGGAGAGCGATCTCGGTAGAGGTATGTGTTTACATCAGCTTTCCAATCACTCAGGGGAAGCTAATTAACACATGACTGGACTTGTCACCAGATTCCCCGTTCAGCTGATGATCCGACCAGCTCGGCTAGCGGAGCACCCAGTTCAGAATCCTTGGTTTCCGGCCCGGCCTCGGTGCCGATTTGAGCCACGTGGATGCAGCTTCTTCTCCCGATGACCCTGCCTCCGGTCCCGACCCCGGTCCAGGCTGGGTGGTTGAGCCGGCCACCCCCAAAGCCACCCGTAATCGGCTTGTGCCTGGCGCGGGTATCCTTGCCTTCGCCGACGGGTTAGAGGCCAACTTGCCGATGATGTTGCGACTGGTGAGGGAGTTTGAAGAAGCCGGTGAGCAGCTTCCCAGGTCGGTCACCGATGTGGTTGCGACCTTTCGGGATTGCTGTGTTGTCTTGGAAGAGTGGCCCCGCCATGAAGGTCCCGGCCAAGTCCAGGATAACTTGATGAGCAGTGGAGAAGATGCGGGGGACTCCGATCACGATAGTCTTTTCGTCACACCGTAAGACCGGCCTTTCTTTGTTTTGCTATTTGCTTTTCTTTTGTATGTATCTTTGTATTGGTTTCGGTTTGCAAGATGCTGACTCGATAAGCAGCAACCAACGATTCAAGCAGTCCAGTAGTGAGGACGATTGGGCCTGGGGATTTGGGGGCTTTGGAAGATTATTGTCAATTTGATTCGGCCAAGGTCAAGATAGTCAACTTGAATTGTAGTAAAAGAAGGGCTGGAAATTTCACCAATTTACAGTCAAAGATCGAATTATCTATTCAATATCGCCTTTTCGTTTGTCATTCAATATTTTGTAACAACTAATAATATCATTAGTCACCCCCATCCCCGTACCTTTAAGTCGTTGGCCACAGCTAATTATTTTGAATTCTTTTTTAGTTAACCCAAGCTAACGATTACTCTAGAACAAGCCGTTATACCTTGGGAACCATCATGAGCAAAACTTAATTTTCAATTAATTTGATAACAGAATCCTAATACCCAAGGGCACTTGCCACAACCTTGGCCTCAAGTCCTTTGCAGCCAATCCCAAGCGGATGCAGAAAGGTGACCTCAAGCGTGATGGCAACATGAATAAAAGGGTAGATAATATCAAAAGCTTCCCCAGCTACCCCTATACCTTCCGGAGCTAGTCGCCGACCGGACTACTGCACCTTGGTCTTCATTGTCGATTTGCTTTGGCTGGATCAAACTTGAACGATCTCCAAGCATATATCTTCATAAACCACCAATCCCAAGGGAGCAGTGCTGGGAGGTGAAACCTTTTGAGCCTCAATCTAGAGACATCTGTTCTCAGCGTGGCGGTTATGCTAGGGGCCAGGGGCCTATCATAAACGTCTTCAAAGTTAAATCAGGATGAACAAGCAACGATTTATGCCTTTCAGAGAACATATATCCTATTATATTTTGATAAATCCAAAGCCGTTTACTTGTTCGGCTTGTAGGTATCAAACAGACAACCAACACATAGAGCTGAGATGAGACAATCCGCCACCAAACGATGACAACTAGGCTGACGCCATAGATCAAAGAAAATAGAACAGTAAGGTAAGTAGTACTTTGCGGTCGGGGATCTCACCCCAAATCCATCAAAGACTGTTGGGTATCTGCAAGAGGACATGTATGTAAAGTGAAAAAGAAAATGCGTTTTGCTGTCCGTTCCCATTCCCATTCCTGCCAAACCCCGCCGGAGGGCAAGGCCATTATTTTCCAGCCCAACTCAACAAAACATATTCAAAGAAAAGAAAACGCTGATGAGCGTGTATGGCGGGTGTCCAATTCAGAATGTGCAATATCTCTCTCGTCCATTTGTCACACCCTCAAAAGTGCAATGCCGGCCAAAGCATCGAATAATCTCCCGACATATCCCGTACCTCCGAGTCCACCGTTCCCGGCCGCTTATGCTCCGCCTCATCCTCCACATGCTGATGTTGCCCATGAAACTCCTCCACCATCTGCTTTGGAGGTGGTTGCGCACAAGTCGCCCCCGTAGCCAAGTCTTCGATCCCATGCTTATCCTTCTTATGTTTCTTGAGATTATCCAATCGACTAAACGTCTTCGTGCAACCCACCACATCACACGACAACCTCAACCCTTTGTGTGTGTTTTTATGCTTCCGTAAATACCCCTTCAGGTTCTCCCTCACGCCTCGGGGCTTCCATTGACACTCATCACAGACTAGATCCTCCGGTGCCGGCTCAAAGGGTGTTCGGAGCGACAGAGAGTGAGGATCGTGGTCTGTCTGCGGTGACAGGGAATCTACATGGCTGGCGTTTGTCCCTGGTGAGTTGTAAACCGGCGTCATGCCTGCTTGCATCGATTCGTGGCTGAGAGCTCGTGACATCGGATGGGCGGAGGATTGCGGGATCGGGAAGAACGGTGATGCGTGTCGACATGGCGAGGTGGGCGTTGTAAGACCGCTTGTGACGTCTCTAGTCATCATCCCATCAATGACACCAATCGGAGACTGCATCTGGAAGCAGGTACCCGATCCTGTGGTAGTAGGCACTGCTCGGGCTGTTTCGATTCCAAGCTTGTTTCCCCACCAGCCGTGGTTCAGGCTTTCATTTGATACCGGCGAGCGAAGTTCGGTTGGTGTTAGGTCTGCCCCGTTCATGTTTATGGGTTCATCCAACACCATTGCGGAGGGTGGTGGCTGGGCGGATACTGGAGATGGTATTCCATTAAACGATGCGTGTGTGCCAAACATATACTGCTGTTGCTGTTCCATAGTTGTTGGGACCTGGACCGACGCCACAGGAGGTGGGAATCCGTTCAAGCTAGGTGTGAACAGCGTGGTCTGAGAAGTGTTTTGGGAGATCGCCTTCGAAGAACCGGTGTCCAGTGTAGATGAAGGTGTGACAGATGGAACACTAGAAGGCATGTTCCCAAGTTGGTCAGCACTAAACCCTGGCCAAAACAAACCATTGCCATCGATTGCTGGTACACCCGCAGGTAGCAACGGTGGCTTATGGTGAGTGGAAAAGGCCGTGGGATTTCCGTGGCCATGGGTTTGGTAATGCAGATGATGCTCAGAACATCGGCTTGTAAATGTGGTGCTTGGGGTTGAGGACGCCGCGGTACTCGGCCGACTGTCCATCGAGTACTCGTTCTTGAAATGGATATCCGGGGCGGGATTTTGTTTGCGCGGATCTCTTTTGGTCAGAGTAGCAAAACCCTTGATTTTCGAACCAAGACTCCGCTTTCTCCGCACCTGCCCTTGCTCATTCCCAGAAGCTTGCTGTGACTTCACGGCCGCCCATTGTTCCCATTCCTTATCGCTGGTGGGAAATGTGTGCCAATGGTTACACTTGTCGCAGGTGAACTCGCCGGTCGAAATCTCCGAGCAGGATAGGAGGTGTTGAATGAGTTGGAGCGGCCCGGGGAAGGGCCTGTGGCACCTCGTCATGGGGCATGCATAACTCTGCCGTGGTTGATGAGAGGAATGCTCGACGAGTTCCCGAATGAACATGAGCACCATACGTGCCACTGCGCCATTCTGTATTATCTTTTCCTCATACCTAGACGGTGGGTGCAAGTTAGTTCTGTCAGGGCGTCGAGGACAAACGGCGAGCAAGGGAGACGGTCACTTACGGGCAAGTCGTCACGCAGTGATCCATCATCGGCGGCTGTGTTTGTGGAGGATGCATGGCATGGTGATGTTGGTGATGGTGATGGCCAGCGTGTATAGCTGCCGTCGAGTAGAGTCCGTCATGGTGCATTGCTCGATGTTGAAAATCCGACATGGGAGCAGGCGCAACGTGGCTGGCTCGCGGGGTGCATAGGCTGCATCACTGCATCGTGGAACCAGACCAGACTAGCGGGATCCCAGAGAGGAAAGGTAGAGGGTCGTGTCTCGGCCTTTTAGGGGATCAGGAGCGCCTTGAGAACACGGACGAGGGGGAGAAAGGCAGTGTAGAGTCGCACAAGGTACAACGCCACGGGAGAAAGGGCCTTCTTGTTCTCCACGTTCTCCACGGACGGCTCCCGCTGTTCTGGATGCACACAACAGACAGTACCAGACACCCCCCCAGACAGGCGCGGCAGTTGTGTTGACAGTGTAGTACCCGCCGTCAGGAGCGGCGGCCAAAACCAGGTGCGCAGCGTACCACCACTGGAGCAGCCCCAGTGTCAAGTCTGGTGCTCTGCAACTCTGCACCTCTGCCACCTGCTGTCAAGTCGTCCCAGCACAGAAGTGACAGAGGACCAGTGGATGTCGGGGCTGGCCGCTGAGGTCAACTAGCGGAATTGACGTCAATTCATCTAGATTGCCATACAATCAATCCGATGGATTTGACCCAAATTTGGCAGATGAAGACCGGGAGGTACGTAGCTATCGCGGGAAGGGCCTGGTGTATATGGAGGAGAGTGGAAACTGTATCGAGAGTGTATTGAATGTGGAGAAAAGGGGGCCAGAGAGGCAGCGAGTAAGAAAAGGGGGCTGAGGGGTTGGGGGACAACGGAATCTGTAAGTATGTAGTAAGCCTCAAGAGCATAGCCAAGCAGAGAAAAACTGGACAAAGAAGTCGCAGATAGAAAGAGCCCCTCTCGCTGGGATGTTGCTGGGCCAATTGTGATGTGTGTGGGTTGGTGAGGTGGGACAGGCGAGGAGGTATGACGGCGGGGAGATGGGGACTACTACTAGCGACTGGTTGGTGGACTTGGCATCGACTCTGTATCGTGGAATAAAATGCAACCTGGCTCCGATGGGCACTGGAAGTTGTGATCGGACTCGGGTGAGGTGTTTGGCAGACGAAAACGGTTGGACAGCGATATTAAGTTGGTTGCTTCAGGTTTAGATGACAAGAGAGTGAATGGGCGGCTTTGCAATAAAGGACCGTGTTGTCCCCCCGTCTTTTTTCTTGCGAGACCGAAACCTGCGCAGCTAACGCAGAGCTGTGATTGATCAGATTGATTGCCGCGCCCGTGTATGGTGCGAGCATGCGAGGGGTTTGCTAAGTTAATGCTGGGTAGTGCTCGGCCAGAATAGCCGGGAGATGTGCCTGCCGATGCTGGATGGGGGCGCAACCTCAACAGCAAAATGTCATGCAGCCGTTTCCTGTCCAGGTGAGCACGTTCTAATAAAGCGGTTCCCACACTTTCAATTTCGAGAACATGCAGCAAGAGCACCTCGTCCAGTCCACGGACCATCCAATGCACAACTTCCCCTTCCCTGACATCCCGAGTTTCCCGACAGCGACATGGATGACCTCAGCTGTGAGGAACTGACTGTCAGCGAGTTGTTCCTCACTTAGTTCCTCGCCATAGCCATCCCCATATGATCCATCAAGGTTCTAGCAGGGGCGCAGAGAAAAGAGCGGGTTGTGCTCTTTCGGCAGAAAAGGGTATTCGGTGGTTAAGCGTAGCGAGACGAGCAACTTTATGTTGGTGTGTACGGAGTACCTACTGGGGAAATTATCGGAGCCAACTTCTATGCCCACATCCCGCTCACCAGGTCCAGCCAGCAGCCAGCAGCCAGCAGCCAGCCCGCCGACGCCCGCCCACCATTGCGATCACCAGATCCTCCCGAGCGGGCACCGAACCCTTGGGACGAGACCGACCACGATGAGGACCTCCCCCTCCAACGTCAAAAGAATATGGCGGGCGTGGGATGGAAAGCAGCCAAGACAGAGCCAAGCCGTCGTCGTCGTGGGCCTATTTCCCGACTTGTTTTTCTTTTGGTTCGCAATACCAGTCTGCCATGCAGCCCCAGTCAGTTCGTCTTATCGGTCAGAGCCCGCCTGCTGCGCACCCCCAGCAGGTAACTGCAACTGCGTCGATGCCAAAATTGGAAGCTGTGGACAGGCTAAAAAGGCGGGAAGGTGAACAGCGACACGGCCCAGGCTAAATTGAATTCTCTCCTCGCTAACAAGCAAACCGTCTCTTGGCAGGAAGCACTTCCCCAGAGAAAAGAGGTTGATGTAACCTACTCCAACTCGTGTCATTATTTGCCGACGATGGTGCCGCTTTCCGGGCTGAGTTTCGTTGCGGTTCGCGCCCGAGATGCCCGGCGACATGTTTTGCGGAGATCACGCGGCATTCAAGGCCTGCGCTTGGGGCCATATATCTCTCTTGCATCATTTTGCATCTATTTTCTGGATTCTCTCTCGGGTGTTGTCTCCGCGGTCTATACTCTCCGTTAGCAACGGGTGTGGCTCGCACTATTGAGATGGTTGTTTAGTGGGGGATGGAGTCCATCCGATGGACTGGTGAGACGGCTGCTCTACGAGGAAACCTACTGATGCAGCTCAAAGCGGTTGACCACCATGATCTCTCAAGCCAAGAAATGTGTCAACGAACAACTGACTCTCTAGGAAGGTAAAAGGAGCCATTGTCTCTTTGAGGTAGGGATCAAAATCCGGCAAGGGAACGTCAACATGTGGCCGTGTGTAATGACGCCAACGGTCATATACATATTGCAACAGCAACAATTTAACTTTCTGGGTATCCTGTATGTGGTAAGCCTTACAAACCCCTTCCCAATTGGGGCTGTTTGAGGATGTCTCGGTCTCTGTGCGTCAGGCCCGAAACGATGGCATGTACACATGCTTGGTTTTTTCAATGGATATAGCAGGTGGTGGTGATCCCCATTCAGCACCATCCTCGACGACAAGCATGTGTCACAAGCGCTTCAATCAGACGCAGCTGCGCCCACCGGGGAGCTTCACCCGGCTGTACCCCATCATACATCCACCAGAACTTTCAGTCATCCACTATCCGTCTAAGCAATCTATAGGCAGCAGAAGCGAGAGACAGCGGCTCGGCGGAATACGCGGACTTGGGGAAGACATGTAACATTACATTGCTTCCTCTTCCGTCCCTCCTCGTTGACATTGTGAGGATTACCCATAATGTCTCGTGATGGGGTTCGGATGGTGAAGGCTTGGAAGGGGCTTGTATAAACGCCATGTCGACCCTGCAGCAATCAGCACATGGCAAGCAGGCAGCTAGAAAGCGATCTCGGTTTTGTTACTGATCTTGCCTGCGGCCCTTCCAGAATCGCGGCATCATTAGGAAGAGTAAGCCACCGTCGTGATGGTTTCCTCTGATAGTCAATATCGACTCGCATAATGACGCCTTGGTAAACTGGTCTCTAGTTTTAGAACGAGAGGGTTTACGAATCTGCCTCGTTTAAACCGGACTTGACCGCTCCGAGCGATGGTATTCAGCTTGCTAATTTAAACAGTCCTACAAAGCTGACGGATGCCTGGCTTTCCAGAAGATTCACCGCCCTATGCTACTCCTTGGCAGGGCTGGCTGACGAGCGGGAAACCCACACATCTCTTCATATCGTTGGTATTTTGATGTTGTCCTTCCACTATCAGCTGCGTTGTTGGAGGAGGCGAAGATTACTGCTCCAAGGCACACACAGTGACAGCTATCCCACCCTTGAGAATTGGTGATCGATAATGGAGTGTTGAAACGGAATGGTACAGCTACGAGACTCGGTACTATCAGCTGTAAGGTGACTTCCCACCCTTGATGCCTGGAGGTTGAATTCCATACGCATGCGGGAGACGCCAAGCTCATGGACTGCTTTGTTGATAAGGACTTTGTGGATTTTTCAAGTAGATCGGCTGCCGCAGTCCTACATCTATCTATTCCGGCCAGGTCAGTCTATTGGATCGACAGTGGGGGTAGGCGAAATGGTGGTTACGCGTCATGATAGTCTTGTCGTTGCCCTGTTCCTGGGGGTTGATCTGGGTTAGGTTTGCAACATTCGCTGGTCACTCACAAGGCATCAGACAATTCAGCAGCCAAATGTGTAATTTTTAATTGGATTAGGAACCTCCCTTAGTAACCACGAGACCCACGTGCATATCAAAGCTACCTAGGTACCTTATCCTCCTCATGATACAAATTGCCGACATGCTTTCTAACTCGAACTTCTCTCAAACGGTATTCTTCCCATGTTAAAGACAAACCACGAACCAGAACTGCAGAATCTGATGCCTATGTCATATAAGTTAGCAATCATGAAACTCTTAAACAACGAAGTTGACGTGCGGCAGAGACACAACACAATATGTCACGCTATTGGATGACTGTCCTTTTTTGGTACAAGAGAAAGCACTGTGTACCAGAAAACAAACGAGAGAAAGTCTCACTGGGTAACAAACAGACTGTCATCCGAGTCCGAGTCTTCCTCCTCAATCCGAAACTCTGTCTGGGCTGCGGTGGCATACCGTTGCAGAAACTCGTGATCATCACGCACTGCAACGCGAAGCCTCGTGAATATGTCTGGGAGGACATTACCGGTGGCGTCGAAGTCCGCGAAATGTTACAAGATAGCTGGCAGATGCTCTGCCAGCCCATCCGCGAGTCTCGCAACATCGGCGTTGTACGGGATCCATGTCGCAGTATTGTGACCTGGAAGTGAATCATGGTAGCTATAGCCTATTGCACTGACATAGCTAGGGCACTGAGGACATTTCTCATACCGTTGTTGGCATTGGGGCCCTCAATGATAGCGCCGCTATCTTCAGACTCTGTGTCCATATCCGTATCGACGATATTCACATTGGCTTTCGTGCTTTGCATAACCGCATCGTTGCTAGTCTCCCAAAAGGTCGTATCAGGATCTGTGTCCCAAGCCCTGAGGTCGCCGGTGTCTTTGACATGCTGGAAGAACAAATGTCATCTTTCGCGGCATTCGGCATGTCGATATAATGCGCCAAGTGACGGGTCAACGTCTTCCACCTCTGATAAGCCGTCAACCAACTCGAGGAGGAGTTCTTGATCATCGGTTAAATCTTCAGTATATGCCGGACCCTCCTTTTCATCGAGATAGTCAGCCCTGTGGGCAAGAAAGTTTCTCTCAATGCCCTTCAAACCTGCATAGAGGCGCGGGTTGCCCAGTGCATGGGCAACCACCTTTGAATTCTTGTGTTCTCGCTACCCCGAACATCAACAAACCAGTAGACGCACCGAAACACGAGCGCCTGATTCCGAAGTATCACAGTGTCTTGACTATCACATGGGCGCAAAAACCCCGGACTCTCAAAAAAGTCGCCAAGCTCCTTTTTCACCCACACTCTGCGGTCACCAAAAACAGGCCAAAGGGAACAGAGATCAAAGCTTTCGGTATGCTTGGCGAGGGAGGCGGATATGGTGAATGCTACTAAGCTGGGATCGTCCGTACAAATAGATTGCTGTGGGAGCTGGGATAAAAAGAGGGCCGTTTGGGAGCGAGAAAAGGGCGCGTGTAAGAGGAAGCAGTGCGCCTGGGAGAGATTTGAAAAAAAAAAGAAGAAGAAAAAAGAAACCACGGGGCCACGAGAACTACAAGGCAAAAATAAAAACATTCTATCTGTTGTGTGTGTGGGGCAATATTTTGGGCAAATATCTCCATCGTTCTTTCCTCCGTCAAGCTAAGGAGTCGTCTTCCAAGCAACAACCAGTTTGGGGAAAGAGCCACTGGCACAACTGTTCCGACCCATCATTTGCTTAGAAGGTAAAAAGAAATGATGATCTGTGGGCTCGAGCCTAGGCAGTGTCGGTGCCAACGCTGCAGGTAATTCCATCCTAACATGGATGCTATGGGTTAACCGGGACGAACGCTCAAGACCGCCAGCCATCTGACGATTTGTTGAAAATATAACCTGTAATACACATCTACATAGCACCTGTCGTTGTTACAATTTTTAATGCCCATCAAGACTCTTTCTGAGGAATTCCACAGCCCGTTGATGACCGCAGGCCTTTTGCTTCGATGGTCATTGATTGATTGGGCTTTGTTGCTTGCGTTGCTGGGCCTAAGCAACTCTGTGAGTTTGACATACGAACAACCCTCCATTGTCTTGGTCTGATTTTATTTTACATAGTGCCATTAATCTTAATGTATCTCCAAAATAAATGATGTATTGGTAGGTCTCCTCTTGACCAAAATATGTGTGTTACACCGTAAGTTGCATACTTGAAAACCTCGATTTACATCCCCAAAGAACTCGATGAAGATATTTAACTTGGAGCAAGTCAGTCAGAGACAGCTCCTCCCCACCTAATAATCGCAAAGAACTTTCAATGCTTACCATACCGGGCAATATGAGGTTCAAGGCCTAGTGGAAGATAGGAGCACGTGATACAATCGCCAAGCCTCACCGCAGCCCTGATTCTACCACATGTACTACAGAGCCAACAGCATGACTTAGGTTGAAGAATGAGACCAGATCAGTGCACCAACACACATGGCGCCATGTCACCAACCACCAACCCCTGGTTTTCGTTGGTGATATTCTCGCCTCATGAATCCTATAAAGTCCCAACTTGCCAAAGAACGACCAGCGGACTTTGCCCAACCTCCTTCGCACGCGGACCACTGCCCTCAAACGCCAGTTATATCGTCGACAGTTTTTCTTCTTCTCTTCCTCAGTCAAAGTCCCAAGTAATTAATTTCTCACACACCGGCAACGACAAGTTAAACACCATGTGCGACAGCTGCCGCAACCTCATCCCAGAGGACCCAGAGTTCTCTCCCGGTAGCCAATACAGATGGGTCTGGGAATCTGACACAGACTGCGAGATTTGTCAGTTTATTTGTAGCACCGCGACATCAATTCACCCTGATCTAGGCTCAACCGACGACCTTGAAGCATGGGTGCGTCTAGATGAAAGACAGAACCGGTTCTATTTCGACTTCTCCGGCGGGTATGCCCTGCAGGTTTATGTCAAGCTCGGTATATCTCCCATTTGCTCTTCCTCATCAAACAAACAATTGTCTAATTCTAATAATATCTTTGTAGACTACGATCCTGATGAAGGTCATGACCAGCCAGGACTCACCCCCGAGGATCCAATCGAATTCACAAGAAGATGTCTTGAAGAGTGTGAAGAAAACCACCCTGAATGTTCCCACCGCACCTCAGATCTTCAGCCAACACGCCTCATCTACTGCGCCGAAGGTGCTGATCAGCTCCAACTCGTGGACAGTGACGACATTGGCGACGTTGAATACATCGCTTTAAGCTACTGCTGGGGCTCGGACGGTCTCTTCAGAACCACCCTAGACAACATCGACGAGTTGAGAGAAGGGTTTGACCTTGAAACCCTGCCGCAGACACTCCAAGACGCTATAGATGTCACACGCCAGTTAGGGATGGAGCACATCTGGATTGATGCAATCTGCATCATCCAAGACGACACAGCTGAGTGGGAGCAAGAAGCTGGCAGGATGGCAGAGGTGTACGGGAATGCACGGGTTACTCTCGCTGCCTTGTCTGCGTCTACGGTGACGGAGGGGTTTCTTCACTTGAAAAGAAATCCACAGGTGGTGACCCGGGAGTTGGCTGGTGAGGATGGTGAGACGTTTCTGCTGGTTGGGAAAGAGGGAGTAAAAAGTGGCTTGCATCCCCAGAGTCTGGACCGCGATAACCCGTGGCCGGGTGTCGGCAGCTTTGATGACTTCTTGGATCCAGTGCAAACAAGAGGATGGTGCTTTCAGGAGCAGGTACTCTCTCGCCGGTTCATAGGCTTTTCCAGCAGGGAGGTACAATGGCTCTGCAAGACCACCATGGGTTGCCAGTGCGGACCACTTGATCCCGACAGTGGAGGCAGCCTACGTCCCCGACCTCCCACCCTCACCATGCAAGACGATGCGTTTGCTTTCTGGGCTGAAATGATCTCCGGCTATAGCCGCAGAGGTCTCACCTATCAGAAGGACAAGCTGCCCGCGATCGCAGGTCTGGCCCGTGAAATCCAGAACACCACTGGTGCCACTTACGTTGGTGGGATCTGGATAAAAGATCTGACACGCAGCCTGAACTGGGTAGCTCGCGAAGTGAACGATGTCTGGGCGTGTCCCGACACCTACAGAGCGCCCTCTTTCTCCTGGGCTTCTCTAGATTCTCCAATATCCATGGACCCCGAAGACTATCTAACTGGATATGTCGAGGTGCTGGAGTACTCTGTCGAGCCGAAAGGTCAAGATCCCCTTGGGGAGATCAACGCTGCCAGTTTGACCGTCAGTGGTTATGTGCATTCGGCCACCCTGATGGACAGTGATGACACCGCGGAGGGATTCGAATATGACGTCAGAATCAAGAGCAGCATCAGAATTGCCAGGAGGTACGCCATGGTTCGTCACGACACCAAGCTTGTCAGAGTTCAGATTGTGGACGCAGACGGGGAAGTGCAGTGGTCTATCCAGCGAGCCAGAGAAGGGGAGATGCCAGGAGAGGAGGAGTTCAGACCTCAGGTGACTGTGCTAGCGCTCTGCTTGGGTGTGGATGAAGCAAACAGGGCTATTGAGTTTCTCATTCTGGCACAGTGTCCAAGTGACCTAAAGACGTGGGAAAGAATTGGGTCCGTGAGGGTCACCGAATCTGACCCACAGCCCGATTCTGAGGAGGAAGAGGAGGAGCTCGAGTTTTGGAATTTTGACGATTTTCTTGCTGAGATCACAGACGAAAACTACAAAACGACCCTCACATTGGTATAGTGAATGGTGTAGATTACGTGAGCAGGTATGACAAGTGTCTTCATAAATTGATAACAGCAAGAGGGAATAGATTCGATTGGCATTGGGTAATTCACTTTGACCATGTCCAAACCTCCGCAAGTTCCCGTGTGAATGGAATGTGCCCAATCTATTTCTTCATGCCCATGGCATCCTTCATGGTATCCTTCATGGAGCCCATACCCTCCTTCATGCTCTCCTTCATCGACCCCATGCCTTCTTTCATGCTCTCCTTTGTGCTGCTGCTGGATCCTTCCAAACCGGACTTCTTCGATTTGCTGCCCGAGGACGGCATGCTTGACGAGGAGCTCTTCTTTCCCGAAGAGCTAGTATTCGCCAGGTGGACCTTCTCGGGGTGAGTTGTTGGCTCGTACATGGATCCGGGCTCGTGGAGCTTTGGGGCTGCTGTTAGCCATGTCTCGGATTCTAACAAAAGAGCCAAGAACATACGTGGGCCTCTTCCTCGGCACGATCAATCAAATCGTGACACTCGACAGCCGCTTCATCTGTATACCCTGTCTCATGATGCTCGTGGTGCTTGTGAGGCTGAGTGGAACCCTTCTTCTGGGGGGCTTTCTCGCGGTGGCTGCTCATTGTGTTGGTTGATGGATGGAGGTTTCGTCTGCAGAGGTGGGTGGAAGATGAGTTCGAACGATGAAGGAACATAAGGCGACCTTACCACTGAAAGTTCATTTTAATATCCCCTCCATTTCCCCCCTTCATCATTGTGAATGTGTCGTCATGCTGACCCTCTTCGCAACGTCACGGGCGCGAAATGCATGGGGTCTGGACGCGATCCGACCACCCAAACCCCACTTCGACTCGGACAAAGACCGTCACTTTTGAAAGATTTGCTGCGTTATTGTGAGGTGAGCTGCAGCTGTTTGACTCTCTTATGGCCCATGCACAGTTTGTTTGGCATGGCTGAAATGAAATGCTTGCAATGAGGCTGCAGGAAGCTGACGAAATGGCAATGCAGCTGATCAGATGATGCAAAACCCACACAGCAAGCAGCGGGCAGGTGAAGGTAAAACAAACAAACACCTACCCATTCTTCCAGTCAATGTTATGATCTCGGATTTCTGTTCATCTAAACGGCTGTGCATCTACCGGTCTTGGTTGAAACAGCTTGCTGCTTCAACTCGGAAACTCCGATAACAAAAAAGAAGAAGGAAAAGCTTTTCTGTGGATTCGAACCTAGGCGGTGCCGGCCGACACTGCAGGTGACTTCTCGTAACCTAGACATATAGGGATTAACTGCGGAATACTCAAACCACTACAGTCCAACTCTTCATTCATATACCCCAACCTGTTTGTCAAAACTGTAATTGCGCAATTACCAGAAACAGCCCACCGCTCCCCGAATGAAGACAAATTGCAGAAAAAACCACGTATTAAAATTGCCAACGAAGTCACTGATCCTGTTGCTAATCATACACAGAAGAGACCTAAGTTACTGACGAACAATCCAAAATAATTTCCAACCTTGACTTCTTGATCCGTATGTTGATAGATGGTGGATCAAATTCCGGAATCATCAGGCAAAGGCGTCGGCGTGGACGTGTAAGACGCAGCAACCCAAGAGTCCCAACTGCTGCACAGCGTAGCGGCAGTCTGCGCAGCGGGACTCGCCTTCGGCCACATGGCAGCAGCATCGGCCTGACGTTCCAGAATCTGCAGGGCCAGACCTTGGGAGGCATGACTGGCGATATGGCAATGAAGGAGCCACGCGCCCGGGTTGTCAGCCTTGAAGGCAATGATAATGAAGCCGCTCTTAGGCATCAGCACCACATCACGACGAGGCGGGTTGATGAGGTTCAGATGGATGTTCTCAGGGACGTAGGTGGTTTTTTCGGCCTGTTGGAGGATGGCAAAGTCATGTCCGTGCAGGTGGATCGGATGGGCACTGGCATCTCCATAAGGAGAATAGTCCACGGTGATGGCTAGCCATACCCAGTCGGTTTGGTTGGGGCGGCCTTCGGGGTAGATTTCCCAGAGCTTGTTCTTGAATGGCTCGTCGTTGTCCAGGTTGAGGAACACTGGGTCGCTGAAGTTGATCTGGAGTGGATTGGGGCCATTGATACCCCCTGATACGTTTCTGAAAGAATAGGAGGCCTGGGGGAAACTCGGAATCGGATCAGCCGGTGGGCCGCTGATCACGGCCATGTGCTGAATCTTGCTTTCTGTTGACATGACATTGATCGGATCCTCAACAACCCAGGGCAGCACGGGCCTCAAGCTGGTGGCAGTCTCATCCGAGCAGGCCATGGAAATATCTGCCCATGGTTTTGATTCTGGATCCTCCGTACTGCTCTTGTTGTAACGCAGAATTCCCGTTTGCATGTATGTCTCCTTGCTGTCCTTGTTGATGGCCACACCAGCACCGCAGTCCGGGGTGACCCACGTTCTGATCCAGTAGTTTCCGTTGCTGTCAAGGGGCTGTTTGGTGTTGTTCCTTGGATTTGCTTCGACAATAACATTGTATCGTTGACCGATTCCAACCAGAATCGACGAGTTGAGGTAGGGGTAAATGGGAACAAAGTCAGCACTGACAATGGAAAGCAGGTGGTTGTCGATGGAGAAGATAAAGGTGGATCCAATCGAGGTGTTGATGAGTCGCAGCAGGTATCGTTTGGGACGTGAGTTCGGAACCTCGAGCTCGGACGGCTCATCCTCATACACTTTGTCCGCTGTGAACGTAAGAGTGTAAGGTTTCGGAATCTTACTCGTGTTTTGAACTTTCCTTGCCCCAAATTTGGTCACGTTCCCGATCCCGTTCAGCAAGATGCTCTGGATCCATCTTTCCTTGAGCATGTTTCCAACTGGAAATAGGCTGCCATGTCTCCAGTCTGTCATCAGGAGCGGGATGTCTGCCGCCTCATCATAGGGGGCGCTGCTCGGGCCATGAGGAGCCATATTGCATCACCTTCCACTCATAGGTGAAAGTGCTCCCTGGTGCGATGGGGCACTGGGTGATTCCATTCACACCGTCCATGTGCATGGTGTTGAGCTGCCTAATGCCGTGCCAATGAATGCTGGTGCCGCGGTCCGGATTGAGATTACGGACATGGACCTTGACAGTATCGCCCTAGCATGCTTGGATCCAAGGCCCTGGGTAAGTTTCATTGAAGACTGTCGCTCCATAAAATGTGTAGCCGTCGGCGGTGATGTTCGACTTGTCGACAGTGATGAAGTACTCGCGTGTTTTACCGGTTGGATAATAATTCTCATAGTCGCTGTTGATGTCGAATCTTTCTCCTGTCTTCTTGTTGACGAGCCAGCATGAGCGATCTTCAGGAGTCGAGCATTTTTCCCATCCTACCATCTTGCGGTAGTCGCATTTGAAGTCGAAACCATTACCTTTGTCTTGTCGGTGGCCTGGTGGTCTGAAGTGGAGAGGATCTTTGGCTGCGGTAGGTACCAAGCTGGTCTCAACGTGCGAATGTGAATCTGTGAGCTGCAAAGGTGATTGAGAGCGGTCCAGTCCCTCATAGGTTGATAGAGTCGTGACCCCAAGAAGACGGGCGACAAGCACCCAAAAACTCCCCATTGTGGTCAAGTTGTGCTGCGTTCAATGTTGTGATCTTGCTGAGAGCTCAATCGTGACAGCGGGAGCCGGGCGAGAAATCATATAAAAGAATGTGGCTGGTCATTTCATATCGCCTCTGATATCTCCATGTCCCTGAGGCGCACCGTGCATGTCGACGGTGTTGACTTACGCGCCCATCAAGGGGGTCAGCCATGACCCAAGCAACCAGCTGAACCCGGTGAGCTAGCCATGTGCGTTTGTCAGCTCTGCTCCCGCCGTACATTCAGCCAGCCAGAACGGGCGGCCAAGGCCGGAACGGTTAGCGTAGCTGTAGCAGAATCCTTAACTATTGGAAACGGAATTGGACTCTACCCAATTCTAGACCTCGCGTCCGGCCATGCATGAGTCGGAATCCGATTGTCGGCGTGTCGCACTATCAAGGAGCTGGGTGATATTGGGTCTGGTCACATTGTGCTCGTGACAATTTGGGGAGGTCCTCCCGGCTGAGGTGGTCTAGAGCGAGGAGTCGATAACACTCGATTCTCCTCGGGAGAGTCACCAACTTCTCTCCTTGTTCGGATCTTGCGGGTTTTCGGTTTCAAAATTGAGCCCAGTGTAGAGTTGTGGTTCTGGGTATGGCTCTCCCTCATTTGGACCAAAAGGCTGTTGCCCAACAGAGATAAGATGCAGTAACTGTGAGTATCATAAGGACATGTCGGCCGTAAAAGTCATTTTATTTATTCATAATTCATAAGTAGGTGTGTACTTATCAGGGTTGGATCGGAAGGCAAAGGCCGACTGGCCAGGCAAGCACCAAGTAAACCCTATCACTGGACAGAAACCTGGTTGGGAACAAGACCAACCCCAAAGAAACCAAAAGAAAGAGCATGAGACCACCACCATACATATCTGCATCATTGGAGCACCAGGCATCAAGCTTGGGCGGGGCATGTATACTCACAACCGGGGGGGTAGAGGTGATCCTCAGGAGAAGCACCCTGTGTTGGTATAAAAGTGCTGATTGATATTAGGTATGGAAAAGTCAAACCGAGAAATCCTACAAGTCCAAACAAACCAGCCCAGGTTGATCCAAGCTCCCTGTGGAGCCAGTTGTGGCTACCCACACAACAACCTGGAATGCGTCCACGAGAACCAGGCTGTCACAGGAGGTAGATAATCGAGGCAAGTTACGATAGGTCTGATCAATTTGATTAACACAAGTGGCAGGCAGAGCCACCAGTCCCAGGGACAAGGATCGCGAGCAGTTTTGCCCGATAGCTTGTCTTCCGGTCAATAAGGATGCCTCCCATGGCCCGTGGCGGTTTCGTATTCTTCTGAAGTTGTATCCGGCTTCTGAAGTATCCTGGGCTACCATTTAGATAGTTTGATGCCTAGGGTTGGTGTCCCGATCAACAACGCTGCGTGAGGTGGTGTATGGCAAGGCGTCAGGAGGACGCTCAAGGGTTCTGGGGACTTTAACTGATCAGACCTTCCAGCCCCGGCTGCTTCCTCTGCTCCCTTTCCTGGTACACTTTCGAGGGGTCCCTGCACATAGGAGTTCTCCGGCGCTGTTGGGGCGACTGCTACGGGCGCACCTTTTTCCTCCGCGCTGTCTTCGTTTTGTTGAGTTAGCAGCTAGTTGCTCTGGTTCGATCCGTACTCTTCAACTTGTGAGTAGTAAGCTGCTGTTACCGCCAATAGCGTGTTGCTTGTTTCACTTTCCAAACATTGGGCAGTGTGACGAACCTCTGATCCGAACCTCTGAAAGAGATAATGGGTTGAAAGCTCGGTGATGGCTTCGGGCAGCTGCTCGCCCGGGAGCTCTCGCAACATGGCTGTATTTGCTTACATAGCTCGGAAAAGCATTTGTTTGAAGCAAAAAGGACAGAAATTCAGACGCAGGAATACTGAGTTGTCTAATCACGGGCTACAACAGAGTGCAGTCGGGCCAGGTTCGAAAAAGACTTGCGGGAGCCATCGCCACCCCGCCGCCCATTACCCAGGCGAAGCGACTCAAAGATATGCATTTTGACTTGGGACCTACAATAATCGGTTCGCCAATTTCAAGAGGCAGCTCGGAATCGGAACTTTTACGCAGCCCTCCTTGCATCCGAAGCTGGGAGTGCAGATCTCACTCATGTCACGACACCCGCTTCAGACTTGGCAGATGGGCTCATTCTTTCACCCAACCCAACACTCATCAAGCAGGCGATTGAAATTCTGAAGAACGACCAGTCCACGGCTGAAATCTATGTGCAGCAACTTCCGGAGGCCGTCTCCCCAGTACCTCAAAGGTCGCACGAGTTTCCAGTCATCCAGCATTTGTCCAAAAAGACGCCTACTTTACCAGAGCCAACTGCCCCCGATGCGAGCGTCATTCCAAGCTGTACGGCTACGTCTGGCCCAAGACCCAGCCGGCGAGCAGGAACGACAAGGAGGAGCGCATCCTGGATCACCGACTTATCAATCGTTTCCTGGACCTTGAAGATGAGGCGAGAGCGCGGGGGAAAGAAGTTCTGGCGGGCAGGCTCGCAAAGAAAATCGACAATGTATACCGAAGGGGGAAGCAATCCTCCACAACGGGGTAGGGCTAGGGTCAGGGAGAGTTTGGTCCCCAAGGTAGACGAGGCATCAAACGCTGCTGTTGATGGAGTTCGGCGCAGTGGCTGGGTTCGTAGGGCAAGTGCAAAGATCACTGGGAATGCATGGAAAAAAAGAAGAGGCTCGTTCAAACGAGTGAATCAGGGCTCATGTTTCTGGGATTCTATATATTATTAGACGATGATGGAATAGCAGTTATCTCATTGTTTTTCTTTGCTTCCGGGGAACTTGCCAATGGAGTGGAGACTGGCGTAATGTGTCGGCACCACCAGGGTGGGCAATGAGATGAGATGGACCCAGCCGGGGGTCTGGCTCGGCTTGTCTCCCTGAATTGACGGCCTGGCTCGCTCAAAGGCATCCTCAGCTCGGCTCGATCTCACCGTCTCACCGAGACGAGGCAAAATTGATTTTCCAAGCCGATATCTCGGCAAAGTGGGGATATATATCCGAACTATCTACAGTTAATCCATGGTGTTGGGGGCCTTACTTCTTCCCCTGCTTCCAGCCCTCCACCATCTTGATATTTTTCTCACAAAGTCTATGGCGTTGAAGGCCATACCTGAAGCTTGGCCTGGATGGACAGTCTCTCGAGCTCTGACGACATCTGAGGCATGGTAAGAAGGCCAAGGGCCATGCAAGAGAGGTTGGGAAGATCCATGTGTCCTAGACATTTTGTGAACCGATACGTTGTTCGTCAGTCATCTTCATTGCCCAGTCCCAGTAAGGGAAACGCCATGACTCCAGCGCCTGAAGCATAGCCGGCTGCTAGGCCTCCGAAAAAATAGCTGCAGCCTTTTCCATGAGCTCATAAAGGACTTGCTCAAAGAGCAGCAAGTAGGGTCTGTGCCAAGTGGTGAAGAGAATACTGTTGTGGGTGCAATATCCAATCCCCTTGTATGCCACCTTGGACTAATTTTCATCCCAGGGAACGAAAGGCTGCCCGTGAATGCCAGCGACCTGGAAGAACGAGATTTTCTCTTGGGGTCCATCTGACAGAAGTGGTTAGAACAACGCGCGCTGGTTCTTGTGCACCACGTCGGTCGAGTTTCACCAGTCATCCAGCTCCATGCGCAGGGGAACTTGACGGACAACATTTTTCTTGTCCTCTTCCTAGAGGCCTTTAGGCAGGATACCAGTGATATCGTAGGTTGACATGATGAGTGGCGAGTTTCAAAAGGCTTGTGGAGGGATCATGGAGGACAGACAAAAGCAAAGCAGTCAACCGAGGGAGATGCTGCTCTTATCTCCCAAAGGAAAGCTCTAGGATCTTCACTGTGTACCCTGAGGAGAACAAGAATTCCCGTGTCTTCAAAGTCTTGATACCCACCTTCAGCAGACTCTGTCTTTGGATACCATAGGTACTTAGGTACCTACTTTGTTGGTTCCGTAGATTCATGTCGCCATCACAATGATGAGAAAGCCCGCTTCAATCCAGCTCAATTAACAAAAATTGAGCACATGCAGTCTAGATGCTCTTTGCTGGTGTCGGTATGATGCCCCGTCAAGCTCTGATTGGGCGGCCCTGCATGTTCAGCTTGTCTCACGACAGCCACTGAGAGAGGGGGCATTACCGCTGACGAAAGCAGTTTACGGCTCCCGATAACTATTGCCACAAACTCTGGTGATAAAACCGGATCCGTCAACCCACCAGTCACGGGAGTGGCCCGTCCCGACACTCAGCTAGACACAAGACAAGATGCTATGTCTTTTTCGTTTCACCCGGCCCACTATGCCATGCAGCGCCCTATCAAGTCTCTGTGGGCTTCTACTATCGTGTGCCGACATCAACTTCTAGCGTCAACTTCCAGGCCAACAGTGGCCCAGAGGAATTTAGGCCTTCGCTGCACGCTGTGATGTTCTCAGATCATTCTCTCTCAGCCAGCCTCAGTTCACTCTAATCCAGCAAGGATACTCGGGGCATTGACTCCGGAACATGAACATATCTCAACATTTTATGATTAAAGTGCAGACAGCCACAACTATTTTACCAGGGAAGCTTCTCAGATTTCTCAGACTTGAATCTCTCCACACACCGAGACAAAGAACACATCCCCATCAACAGCTATCATTCCAAAAAGCCCTCATCCAAAGCATCATGGCCTCAGAAACAAACCCAGAGACAAACCCCCCAGTGTAAGTTCGATCTGATCTGCACGCCTCATCAACAAGCACCATGGCTGACACCTACCAGCGAGCCCCAAGCTGAGCCAACAGCGACCGCCGCTCCTGTTACCTGGGAAGGCACCATCAAGGATTACTTCCTCCCGAGCGACGTGGATTGCATGCTCAACGCCGGTGGCTTCGATCTGAGCAACAAGGATGACGTGGCCGGCAACGCCACCAAGATCTATGTGCGCGTGAAGAACAAGTCTATGCCGAAGCAAATGCCCCCCTGGACTCAGCAGAACCCAGACCCGGCGCACCCCCTCTGGACGGACGAAATGTGCGCCAACTTCAAGACCTGGATGGATAACGAGTTTCCATGAAGGATGAGAGACATGGAGAGGATTCGAGGTGGTGATGGACTTGTGTTGAAAGGGGTTGGTACAGTCACTTGGATAGCTTTCAATCATTTCATGTACGAGCATAAAAGCACATAATCCCCCTGTAAAGCTAACCCCCAGCCAGCCCTGACGCTACTGTGACTTGTATCTGTGTAAGGTAGGTGGCCATTAAACATCACTCCGTGACAGCTCCTTCAAGAGTTACGTCTGGTTAAAACACGCGTGATTGCATCAATCTCCTGACACACACCTCACAACCATGAATATGCTGCCCCATCATTCCCTCTCCAAGAGTGTCCTTCGAACCTGAAGTGGGTGTACTCCTCTTCCACCTCAGAGTATGTCGACGCACCTCTTTCTGGTATCTGCCCAAGTGAATTACAAGGTCATCACTATTGAGCCAGAAAGTCTAGTTCTCTTGTGTATTTGCAGTTAGATATTGACACCCAAAGGACGTATAATCAACAGCTTCCGAGCAAGTCACCACACCACAGCCTTCTTCCATCTGCTTCTATCATACATATTATGATATGCCAACACAATCCCAAACCTTGAACCCCGCCCGCCAGGCAAATCCCTCCGTTCGTTCCACACTCAATCCATAAACTCAACCTCCAAAATCATCAGCTCGCTGAAGCTCTGCAGCCTCAGATCCCTCAGATTCATCTCCGACTCAACCTCACCCCAAACTGCATTAAATCCCCCAGGCTCCTTCTTGATAATCATGTCCAGAATCTTCTGCTTGTTCCCCCCAAGCTGTACTCCATTGTTGTGGTCATCAACAATCTGCTTGAGCTCCTCATAGATCTTTTGACGTAACGGCTTCTCGTTCAACGCTGGGTTCCCTGTCTTCTTCTGCTGAAAGGCCTGATACTGTCCCTGCACAGCTTGATTCGCCGGGTCCCAAGGCAAGCCGGCAATGACAACGGGATCCCAGTAGAGATGGACTTGCGCGTAGGCGTCGTTGAGCCAGTAGAGAGGGTACTGGAGGACAAAGGCCTTGAGGTCCTGGATCAAATCCTTGGCCCTGGCGTCTTGGTTCTGCGTCACCTTTCTCACTTTGGGTGGCTTGGGCTCGGGTTCCTTGACGTTGGGGGTGTTGTTGAAGACGTTTCTAAGCCCATGAGTTAGCGGTGTGACCAATAAGATCGCAAGAGACACAAACTTACTTGCTAGCACCCTGGACAAGCGATGCCAAACTACCAGTTGTGACAGCTCCCGCCGCACTCTTTCCAACATTGGTGATGATGACCTTGGCAGCACCCTCAAAGCCAGTCTTGGCCAACGTCGACGCCGTGGCCTCAATCGCGGCTTTACCTGCTGCCTTGCCTGCAGCAGTGGCACCAGCTCCGCCGCCAATCAAGCCAGAAACACCACCGATGGCCATGTCGGTCACAACTCTCTGCACGGTAACCTCCCCAACATCGCCCTTGACGTCCTTGTCGTTGATGGTGGTGCTGATGGCGTACTCAGTGCCCAAGCCGATGGTGGACGCTGCTGCACCACCTGCTATGGCACCAGCTGGTCCACCGACAACCATACCACCGACGGCACCGGCCGTGGTGATTAGACTGTTGGTGCTGGTGGCAAGGGCTCGTTTGGCATGTTCTGTGTTGCCGGCTAGGGCTTGAACTCCAGCGACGCCGTAGCCGACGACGGGCACCTTTTCGAGGATGCGGGTGGCGATGCCATCACAGGAGAAGGCGTTGGCGATTGAGTCAAAGAAGCCCATGATGCAGAGGGATATGCTCAACAGATTGGGATGAAGGAGACGGAAGAACGAGTGAGCTGGAAGAGGGACTGGCCCCTAGGAAGAGATTTATCTCGTCTCATTGTCTATGTCTGGGGGTTTGCAGAAGTGACGTTGATGCAACATATCGAGAGGGAACCAGCGAACAATGCATCATGAATGGAGCTGAACTACCAAGATCGGTTAGTTCGATTGTTCAGCTCATCGTCGAAGCGATTTTTATGGGCCAATACTGATGTCGAGATGTAGAAACCCTGGCCTAGAGCGCTCTAGGCTTCGAGTTACTCGTTCTAGCGCGCGTTAACTTCCGTAGTACGGGGCATCAGCTGTAAAAAACGCCTCGGTGCATGGAGTTGTAACTTGTTTTGGATCTCAGCTGCCAAAAGGCTTCTTGACCGATCGGTTGGAGGCTTGGCGGGTTGTTTTGCATCGTGTAGGACTGGTGGTTGGAAATGGTGCAGTCTGAAGGCAGCATGTAAGGTGGGTTTGTCTCCACAGCATGGATCTGATAGGGGTTAGGGTTGTACCGGCCACCATGACGTAAATCGTCTTGAGGTGTGTTGGTGTCCAACAAAACAACCTTGATCAGTGCTCTTCAAGCATGTCTTTATATTTTCCGTATTTTACTCAATGCATCTGATGGGGAAGAATATATAAACGACAGAAATCTACTCCGTACCTGGTCCCTCAATCTAGGTAGGTAGTTGTCGGATTAGCGCTTTGTTTACGTACCATCTCCACTCAAGAGTCATCCCCAAGAACATTCCCGTAGCCATTCGCTTACACCCCATCATCCCCGCTCCAAGCCCTTTGTGTCACATCACAAACTGAAAGGTTGAAACAACTCTATTGAATCCGAATATGCAAGACACTGTCCATTCCCTGGTGTGGCTGTCCATTGGCTTCGCCCTGGTCAATGTCGCTCACAGCTTGGAAGCCCAGAATAACTTTCGATACCTCGCCCAAACCCCCCTATCTACCGCACCCACGTTCGACAACGAAGACACACCATGGGGCTTAACAACTTATGCCAACATTCCATATCTGCCCTGTCTCTCAAAGCGTGACAGCCTCAAATATGACATCGCCGTCCTCGGTGCACCATTTGACACTGTAAGCGCTGCCCCATCCGCTGAAAACTCCCCATCAACTAACCATCTCCCACAGGCAACAACCGGCCGACCAGGAGCCCGCTTCGGCCCCGGAGCAATCAGATCTGGCTCCTCGCGCATTTACGCAGATGCAGCATGGAGTTTATACACCGGTGAGCCCAGTCACCAGCACCAACAAACCCTTGACGCACAATCAACTGACAAAATCCAGGGGAAAACGTCTTCAAAAGCAACGTCAAAATCGTCGACTGCGGAGACGTCCCAATGACCAGACTGGACAACACCGTCGCGCTCAAACAGCTGGAAACCGGCCACGATATCATCAATGCCCGCTCTCCTGTTTCTAGGGACCTGTCCCCTGTCCCGAGGATTATCAACTTGGGAGGTGATCATACCACCACGCTGTCTGCGTTGAGGGCAGCGTACAAGAAATGGGGGAAACTCTCTGTTATTCATTTCGATGCTCATATCGGTGGGTTTCGGCCAGTTACCGTGCAATGGTTTTGGGTCAAAGGCTGATATTGTACATGATTAAGATACTTGGAACCCCAAGGTGTTGGGTGGTGATGTTTCTGACTATGGGTATGACCACTTCTCTCCTTCTTTCAACAAACCCATCTGCTGACAAAAGTTCCAGAGCGGTAAACCACGGAACCTTCCTTCACATTGCCCACGAGGAGGCAAGTCTCATGAAAACAACCACGTTTTAAACTCAGCTGACGGAAAATACAGGGGCTCATTACAAACTCCAGCATTCACGCAGGCATCCGGGCACCTCTTGCCCACCCAGTCAAAGACATGAAGAATGATCGCCGTTGCGGGTTTGATTTTGTTACCTCCAGGGATCTTGACCGTTTTGGTATCAGCGGGATTATCGAGAGGCTGAAATCCAGGGTTGGAGACGCGAAAATCTATATCAGTGTTGACATTGATGTTCTGGATCCTGCTTTTGCTCCTGGTAAGTTGTCATGTTGAACAAAACCGGGTGATAGTGTGATTAATGAATGATGCAGCAACGGGAACTGCTGAGCCGGGTGGTTGGACGTCGAGGGAGCTACTGACTATCCTTGACGGACTGGTTGGGCTCAAAGTTGTGGGTGCTGATGTTGTGGAAGTTGCGCCGGCTTATGATGGTGCTGGTGAGACAACGGGCGTGGCGGCTGCTGAGGTTGTGCATTCTCTTCTGTATTTGATGGTGAAGACCCCAGTTGCGGGGGAGTGAGGTGCCGGAATCTGAGCTGCAGTGTGGATAGGACGAATGTTCCTTATCGCCAGCAATCTGCGTAGGGAAGCAACAACTGCAGTGATCGTTGCCAGCGCGTTCTCCTTGAGCACTTCAGACAGGATCTCTTCCTGCCAGGGTAACATTCCGTGACTCCGGATCCATATTTCGAATCCACGATTTGGAATTTTAATCCTGTCACACGTCAACGGACTAATTGGTCACACCACGGCCTCACTATTATCTACCTACACCTCGAGAGCCGGTGGTTAAAAAGTAACGCAGGCAATCAAGCACCACGCGGCTATCAAAGGAATAGTATTGGTTAACTCAATATATTAGGGACCTTAGTAATACCCTACTAATAGCCTAAAGCTATAGGGTACGGGTTACCGAGAAAAAATAAATATATATCTTTAAGACTCTTTGTGACGAACCCTTTTCCAGAACCTCTGAAAGGGATACTGATTGAAGGCACTTCTAAACAATCCTTGTTCGGTACAGCTAAACATTGTACAACAGATAGCTTATCTCAATTACAATAGTCTTGATACTAATGATTGTAACTTATTGTGACGAACCCCTATCCAGAACCTCTGAAAGGGGTACTGGTTGAAGGCACTTCTGAACAATCCTGGTTCGGTACAGCTAAACAGTGTACAACAAATGGCTTGTCTAAATCACAATAGCTAAGATACCACGATTGTGACTTGTAAATTGCATACTGCGGAACTGTCTATCTACACCAGCCAGTTCCTCCGTATATATAGACCTGTGGATCACCTTTCCTTCCTGTGGCTCACTATGCTCGTCGTGATCCTGTCGCTCCGCTCACCTGGATCACCGCGAGCCTTTCGCTCCACTTCCGATTGGTCCGTAATGATTGGCTAGGAGCGTCCCGCGCCCCGTGCGTTGGTTCCTCATCAATGATTGTGACATCCGTCTTGCCTGTTGGCTTAACTGTGACATTTATTTACTTTCTTAAAGTTTAAATAAAATCAATAAACTTTTCATGATATATTATTTATAAAATAAAAAAATATATAAATAGATCAGTTAATGTAGGTTATATTAAATTAATTAAAATTCTATAACTTAAACTACTAATATAATAATAAAATTATTCTATTTATTTATAATAAAAAATGTAAAAAGCTTTATAATTCTAGATAATTTTAGCCCTAATAAACTATTTTAAAGCATTTTAGCTTTTGCTAGTATTTTTAGTTTATTTAAATCGACTTTCTTTTATTTTTTAGTGAAATGGTGAGAAAACACACAAAACAACCACAACACCACAAATATTGGTTTGGGGTGCGGCCACAGGCCTGAGAGTATGAGTAAGGAAGCGGGGCTCTCAGAGGACTCAGGGGTTCAGGGGTCATGTATATAAGCGGTCTGCTTCGGACATTCTATTTTAGACAGGACATCGACTTTTATTCTTTTCTTCGTATTTTGTGCCTTGCACGCGTGCAGGCAATTCTGGCCCTCTGATCAGGCCAATCCGGTGCTTATTATGTGGCCTGCGAGCCCATAGTGTCTTTTCTTTGTCCTACGTGAAGTGCGGCCTGCGAGCGAGTCACTGTCACGCAGGTGTGTTCATTCTG